TTTTGTTAAATAAATACTTGTTGAACTGTCATATGTAACTTTTTGGTAGTTATACATGTAGTATATGGTGAAAATGGATGTTATATATACATGGGTAATAGCCGCCCAACGTACGTACGCTGGATAATAAATGCGTTGAAAAAAACTTTTTGTTGAATAAATACTTGTTGAACTGTTGTATGTAACTTTTTGGTAGTTATACAATGTAGTATATGGTGAAAATGGATGTTTTATACACATGGGTAATAGCCGCCCAACGTACGTACGCTGGATAATAAATGCGTTGCAAAAAAAATTTTTGTTGAATAAATTCTTGTTGAACTGTCGTATGTAACTTTTTGGAAGTTATACAATGTAGTATATGGTGAAAATGGATGTTATATAGACATGGGTAATAGCCGTCCAACGTACGTACGCTGGATAATAAAGGTGTTTAAAAAAGTTTTTGTTAAATAAATACTTGTTGAACTGTCGTATGTAACTTTTTGGTAGTTATACAATGCAGTATATGTTGAAAATGGATGTTTTATATACATGGGTAATAGCCGTCCAACGTACGTACGCTGGATAATAAAGGTGTTTAAAAAAGTTTTTGTTAAATAAATACTTGTTGAACTGTCGTATGTAACTTTTTGGTAGTTATACAATGTAGTATATGGTGAAAATGGATGTTTTATATACATGGGTAATAGCCGCCCAACGTACGTACGCTGGATAATAAATGCGTTGAAAAAAACTTTTTGTTAAATAAATACTTGTTGAACTGTTGTATGTAACTTTTTGGTAGTTATACAATGTAGTATATGGTGAAAATGGATGTTTTATATACATGGGTAATAGCCGTCCAACGTACGTACGCTGGATAATAAATGCGTTGAAAAAAACTTTTTGTTAAATAAATACTTGTTGAACTGTTGTATGTAACTTTTTGGTAGTTATACAATGTAGTATATGGTGAAAATGGATGTTTTATATACATGGGTAATAGCCGCCCAACGTACGTACGCTGGATAATAAATGCGTTGAAAAAAACTTGTTGTTGAATAAATACTTGTTGAACTGTTGTAACTTTTGGAAGTTATACAATGTAGTATATAGGAAAATGGATGTTATATATACCGCCCAACGTACGTACGCTGGATAATAAATGCGTTGAAAAAACTTTTGTTGAATAAATACTTGTTGAACTGTATGTAACTTTTGGTAGTTATACAATGTAATGGTGAAAATGGATGATATAATGCCGCCCAACGTACGTACGCTGGATAATAAATGCGTTGAAAAAATTTTTGTTAAATAAATACTTGTTGGTCGTATGTAACTTTTGTAGTATATGAATGTATATTGGAATACATATATATGGTAATAGCGTACGTACGCTGGATAATAAATGCGTTGAAAAACTTTGTTAAATAAAAGCATCTTTTATTTTAATTGTAGACAAAATTGAAGTATAATTGTTTCCTGTACAAGAATTCATTAGTTTTGATAAAGTGATAGAACTTAGCTAAAAAGAAAATCTTATTCAGTAAACCTAAACTATAAAACAGCGCTAGTTCATCGTCAATAGTGTATATTTAGACGACATTGAGTCATAAGAGTATCCACTACAAGATCCACTACAGCTTTCAGGTACTTCGGTAGATAACAAGGTTAGTCACTTTCAGAGTCTGCACCGTCTTGAACTCCACTCGCACAATTATAAATTTTTTCAGCGTTATTTCGGAGACAACGCTCAGTTTTTCGTATACAATATATGCAGGCCTATATAAAATATCATAGTTTCACTGTCACATAGCTTTCACAACAAAAAAACGTCTTGGAATTTGGCGTTAGATGAACAACAAACCTCAGGAAATAAAACGTTATACACGTAGTTGATGTTCATTGAATTTGTTTCATCAAAGGATCGAAAAATATCTGTGACTATTTCTTTAACTACATTCAACAGATCGTTTGCCTATATATACAAAAATGACGAGTTAAGACACTAGTGGGGCTCCATTTCTAACAGAGAATGTGTTTTTATACTTGAGTTCGAGTTAAAGGACACGTCATGTAGAGATCGGTGAGTTCAGTCTGAGCTTGATTTTGCCCACGGATCATTTGCTTAAATAACCTGTGGCGTTTACTGGGTATCGCACCGTTGACGATTTTGTTAAATGTGCCTAAAATTCAATGTTAAAATATTATAGGTATGTTTATCTGCAACTGATATTAAATAATTTAAATTCTAAGAGAACCTTTAATCCTCTGAATGAGCGATTTCCTTTATATTTATGTCAAATGTTTTCGCAGATCTGTCAAGGAAAAGATAAAAGAAATAAATATATTTATTCGTGTGTGTTCAAGAAACTCACATTTTAGAAATAAAACATTTAAGAGGAACGTATTAATAACTATTATGAATACGTATGCAAATAAATCGGTGATGCGCAAAATGAACAGACTAACAGTTCGTAGTTTAGAAAAGTGGATGTATAATTTACCCATGAGTAAAGTAAGATACATTGCATCCGCAATCAAATTTTCCTTTCGGCTTCGTCGTAATGCCAACGCAATCCCAATGGTACCATTGTTGACAAACATCACACAACACCCAATCCACCATTCCATTATCTTTGAAGATGGTTCTTGACAAAGAAAGGCTTTACATTTGTCATAGGATGTCAAATGACTAGCTCTTTCTTTGCACAAGACACACTTTCTCTGTCACTGGACTTTGCCTCTTTTTCTTTTGTTGTTACTTCTTCCCTTCCTGTGCTCTTTATCAACTTTTTTAGGCACGGCGTTTTCTGTTACAAGGTTTCCGTCACCTTCATTAACTGTTCCGTCTCGTCCACAAAATACATTCCCAGAATTACCATCATCATCGCCACCATTATTTACAACATCTTCTCTATCACCGGAACATCACCATTTTCACAACCATTATTAACATTATCAGTTCTTTGTCCATGGCCAACATCATATTCGTCGGAAACGTTGTTAACAAGTTCGCCATGACTATTATTATCATTCTCACCACTAACTTCAACAACTTCTTGGATGTGGCCGCCATTGTCTTGCTCTTTGTCACATTCCTCAACATTTTCTGCATGAAGAACATTATTTCCTTCCACTATCTCCCTTTCCACAAACGTAATCTCATTTGATTTTTCAATAAATAAATCCAATGCTGCTTCTCCCATAGTCGATGGATCCCGTAATGATGCGTGTTCTGGAATTCCGCATACTACATATTTGAAATCCCCTTTCAAAAGAGAAGTGTATGGCACTTTTGCTTTGTCCATTCCAGTTGCTTCACCTAGAATGTTTTTTTGAAACTAGTATAAGCTATTGTTACTGAAATTGCTGCAGTATTGTGTGCAACCTCTTTTACTAATCATTGCTTCAAATATTACAAAATTTCCTGCATATGTAATTGTACTTATTTCAAGAAATATTGACCAAGAACAACCTTTTCATATTCCATCTAAAAAGTTTTACAATTAGTTATATGTTCATACTTACAGTATTTCTGATTTAAAATATCACGCAAAGATTTCCTCTTCTGTTTCAACCTTGCCATGCGATTATCGGTAACAGTTTCAACGTTGTCGTTTGACTCAATTGCTACAACCAAAAAGTTTGTATTGGATTAAAATATTAAATAAGAAACAAAAATCACAAGTTCTCGGTTGTCCTGAGAAGAAAAATGTATTTCCTCACGGGCATGATGTAAAGTAAGGACCACAAACCTCCAGAGCTGTTTACAAAAGCATAAAATGAAGCGGGGATGCTCTTTCTTTTGCAGTATTGTAAGGCAGACTTTGAGCCATGCACTTCAACACCAGATTCCATGGCAGCCACGAAAAAGTAATCAATGTTCATTCCTTTCAAAGCATCCAACTAAACAATGGCACCGATAGCATTAATAAAAATTGGAACTGATCACAAAAATAATTTTGTGCGTTTATTTTGACCCAATCAACATACCTTCTTCAAAATTTTTTTCAACTCTCGTTTCTTGCGTTTCGTGTCTGAGCTTGTCTTTGCCCTATATAGCCTTCTCGTTGGCTTTCATCCAGGCAGCGCCATCGTTGTCCCAATTCAACATTTCTAACGTGAAATGTCAAAGACTTTAAGGAGTCTAAAAAAAGAATAAAAATGTGCATAATTTTAATAGAGACAACTTTGTGTACGTAGCTATTCTCACCATCGTTAGAAGCTTCTTCTTTACAAAATAATTGGTATCCATTCATTCCACTAAAAAAGTAAATGAATTTTATTTTTTATTTCAAAATTTTGTAAAACTTGCAGTCTTTTGAAATGATTTCCTTTGGCTGACTATTGATGGACAATTCTACCGTTTTGAAAAGCTGAAAAGTGAGTGAAGAGTCAAGAAAATTTTTAATTCGTTATTGCAACCATGTGGAACTATCTTTTTCTTGAGTATTGAAATACTCAGGGAAAGCCCCGCATAATTTCCCGCGATTTAGGGAAAATCCGTATGCGAACAAACCACAATATTTACAACATTACTGGTTTGTAGGTCTAAATTTGGCACAAATTATAGCACAGAGATATGCATGCTCACCATAAGGTGAGATTAACGAGCAGATATGGAAAAGTTATAAAACAGCGATGTAGACAAATAAGAAGCTTTATAAAATAGATTTATATAGAAGTAGAATACATCTTGGAATGAAAATGAGCTTGTTAATAAATTATCACAATGGATAGCATTATTTTATCTTGACATGATTCCTATCCTGCTTAAAATGAACCAGAAGAGTCTATTTGGTGTGCAATATAGTCTAGTTTGTTTGAAACAACGCGAAGAGAAAAGATTATGTTTATTAATCACCAGACCCCTGTCGAAGGCCGTGCTCGGTAACCATCAAAGGAGCCTGGCGCGAACGTACAGCGTACGTGTACTTTGACGGCTATCAGCCAGTACTTTTTAGCACTAAAATACGGCTATTAGCCATATGCCTAAGACGAAGCGGGTGGTCGTGAGCAGTTTGTCATGAATATTCTTCAAAATTTGTCAAAATTTAGCGTTTTGATAAAACTTGTATTCGCGGTTTTGTAATTTAAGCTTTTCTTATGGGCTCAAGAGGGCAATACAAACGATATGCAGTTGATTCCACTGTTGATCTTCCAAGAAGAACAAAATATAGACGACGAAAGCAGTTGCGTGCTACGATGGAGATAGATCAAGCAACTTCATCTGATATGGTATGGAAAATTTCATTTAGATATTATTTCTGGTAATATTGTTTTGTTAGTGCTTGAAAATTTTATCCCATACTTTATCCACACTATACAATTAAATGTGTCTCCATTCGCATATGTTCAGACATTTTTGTAACATACCTCTTGCCTTTCCTAACATAATTGGCATCAATACATTGTAATTGAAGTTTTAATTTTAATTGTATTTCATGATACACTTATATCTGTGCTTCAAAAAATAATAATGGAACGTTTGTCGGTAATTTTGCAGTAGACATTGTGCTTTGTAATTTTACTTTAGTGTAAACTTGTAGCAAGAATCAGGAGCTCCTTTAATGTCCAGTTATAATTATGTCTATTAATGAATTCATACAATCAAAAATGATGCGAAAGTACTTGTCAAATAAAATTTGCATGTTGAAATTGCATTTTTACACTTTTAGCAATTGAGTGCATTTAAAATGAAGTTTCCCTGCCAATTAACCAAAACCAAATTCAACCAAGCTAAAACTAAACAGAGGGTTTTCCATGTGTTGTATCATATGCTTGAGAATGATTGTATTCTATTTAATTCCCAGTGGTGGAAAATTTAATTTTAACATGAAGTTGTTATTTGAGGAGTTCATTAACTGGAAAGGTAAAGGGCCTTGCTATCTTGCTGTATTCAAATATAATCTTAAAACACAATGTGTCAAATGCATGATTGTCTATAAAATTTTGATTTAAATTTTTTGATACTCATTGTTTGTAATGGCGAGTCATGCAATTTTGTTTGTTGTACAAATTGTAATATTGAATTTGGATGCAAATAGATTTAAAATAAGTATACATAGATAACGATATTAGATTGGACATTTCTTTGCATTGACACTATTCAGTTTTGTTGAGCTTTCAACTTGGTGCTTCAAGTCGACTTGCGTGTATTACAGTGTGCTCAATTCATGTAAATAAAAAAGATATTATTATTATTGCTATTGTCCAAGTCAGTTTATCAATGGTGTATAAGCCTATAAGTGCATGTGTTCTTACACATACATTATATCTTTCATTATATACATTATATCTGATAAATATACATTATCTCTTTCAACAATCTATGAGGTCACATAACATTACAGACAATGATCAAAGTGTTTATAAAGCATTGCAAACTGCATTTCATTGACCTCTTAAAATGTCTAAATTTTCATGTTAGCTAGCTTGTGAATGGTATAAAAGATGTTTCCGCCTTCCTTTTCTATGCAAATACCTATATCATCTTGTGACATTACATTGCATAGTCATATTTAGACTGCATCAGTTCTCAACACAATTAAAAGATTTATTGACTAGTACAAGAAAATAATCAATACATGGCAGATAGGAGTGTGAAAATTTGATGCACTTCAAAATATTTGCAAATCAAACGTTAGTTATGCAAAGTGTTTCATTACCAGAAAATTTGCATAATGAAAAAATTTCAATATCAGTGTAACAAAGATAATTATAAAATAAACATAATGAAACGTGTCTGCTGATTGGTCCAGAGCTGCATTGCATTAGCCTTTGAAAAACAATCTGCGCTCAGCCAATCAAATCAATCAATCAATCTAAAAGATTTTGCAAGTCCATCATGAATACATGTTAAAAGAATATTAGAACGTTTTCTGTTTCGCATTATTGTTATTTTATAAAGAAATAAAGATGTTTTCATGTTTGCACTGGCTTATGCAAACCTCGGAGACGTTTGTGAGAACTTTCGAGCAGGTGCAACCCTCAACGTTCAGTCTCGGGCTTGCACTGATCTGCACCCGAGTTCTCCCAAAGGTCTCCTTGATTGGATAAGACTATGCAAACACAGTAAACATCTTTTATTTCTTAACAAAAATAGTTTGTAAGATGCTAGATGAGCTTGAATAGTTATTGTAATGTATTTAGAAAACAGTCTGGCAAAATTTTGTTTCATTAACGCTTTAATCAATGGAACATATATTTTAAAAATTAGATTCAATTTCATCAAAATGATCAAGAGACACAGGCACAGGCATGTCAGGAGAATGGAAAAATTGATGTTGATTTCCAGCTTAGTAATAATGGCCTTGGACATGAAGCACTGCAGGTGAATGTGAAACATCATACAGTACGTAGAACCAGGGTAGGCAGAAGATCAAGGATTGGGAAAGAGGGCTAATATTCACTTTTTTGTGTGTGTTCTATTTTATCAATTTCTTTTGAAATCCATTTTAATTATTGATTATGGTACATGAATATATTAACATGAACTTCCTCCCCCCCCCCCACCATATAATAGCTACTACATTCCGATTTACACTCAGAATTTGTATTTAGGTTTTAAACATCGAAAATGGTGATGAAGAAATATATCCTGGTGCTCTTATAACAAAGTCTCAAAGTGTTCTCCTGCTCGTCGCATTTTTATTAAAGAACAATTTAACAGATGCAGCTTTGACTGATCTACTCGACATTTTGAGTTTGATTTTGCCGAGCACGTTTCCATCCAGCAAGTATAAGTTCTACAAAGCAATTCAAGTGGAGGAATCTCAGGTAAAAAGAAAACTATCTTGAATTTTTTCTAATATGGTTTTCTTTATAACGACTTTCGACTGGAATACGTAGTTAGCTTCGTGCATTTAATATCTTAAAATTCAACTTTATTTTGTGCAATTTAAAGAAGAAAAGTGGTGAAACGATTCGAATTCTGCATATTTAGGGCTTGTATTCTTGATGAAAATGATCGAACTGGATTAGAACTAGCGGCAAATAACGTTACGGATTTACAGTTTATATCCCTCCCTGAAAAATTAATTGTTATACTTTGCAGGCTCATTTTTATTGCGAGTCATGTTTGTCGTACATTGGAACAAGCGCAGAAAGCACAAAGTGTGATGAATGTGATACACCTTTCAATCGCGAAAACAGCATGAAGAACGGCACCTTTTTTTCTTCATATTCCACTAAAAGAACAACTTAAGCAGCTCCTGTCTGATCCCATTCTTTATGAATATTTAACCAACAGGAATTTGGAAGTTTTGACTGAATCAACTGTTATATCAGACGTAACTACGGGTAAACTATATAAGAGCCTGATAAGGGATAAAGCTATGGCGAAAAATGACATTTCTTTAACTTGGAATGCAGATGGCATTCCTGTTTTAAGTCATCACAATACTCTATTTGGCCTATCCAATGTATGATAAACGAGCTACCTCCTCACCTTCGTTCCAAGAATATTCTACTTACAGGTTTGTGGTTTGGTGCGACAAAACCACAGATGAACACTTTTCTTGAAGCATTTGTGAACGAATGCCATGATTTGGAAAAAAAGGGATTTCTTTTACGTGAAGAAATTATACCTCGCAAAGTTTTCGCATTAGTATGTTCCAGCGACAGCCCAGCTCGTGCAATGTTGAGAAACTGCAAGCAGTTTAATGGTAAGTACGGGTGCGATTGGTGTGAACATGAAGGTGTGTCTGTTCTCCGTAATAGAGGTCCCCCAACTCGATACTATCCACAGCGTGGTCATCAAAGCTCAAGAACGTCACAGAATCAAGCAGATTATGCTTTCGAAGCTGAAATGAGAAAAGAAGCAGTTAATGGGGTAAAAGGGCTTTCGCGTATCGACATTCTTCCCACATTTGATACAGTGAGAGGCTTTACACCGGAGTATATGCATTCTGTGTGTCAAGGAGTAGTCCGTCAACTGTGCAATCTTTGGCTTGATTCGAGAAACCACGAAAAGAACTTTTATTTGGGAAGAAACGTCGAGCTATTAGATGAACGCTTGTCTGTAATATGCCCGCCTTCTGAAATAACTAGAGCCCCTAGATCAATAAAAGAGCGAAAATTTTGGAAAGCGTCGGAGTGGCGAGCATTTCTTTTTTATGGTCTTGTGGTTCTAAATGGCTTGCTTCCTCGTGAATATTTAGAGCATTTGTTTTTTGCTAGTACATGGTGTACATACATTACTTGGTAATAGAATTAGTGATGAAATGTTATCACGAGCCAACGCATGCCTTGTTAAATTTGCAACTGATATGGAAAAGTTGTACGGTTTGACTAACTGTACATTCAATGTACACGTTATGACGCATTTAGCGGAAGGCGTAAGGAACTGCGGGCCACTTTGGGCTACTTCTGCCTTTGCATTCGAAGCCAACAACCACTTTTTGCTGAAAATGTTTAATGGTACCCAATATGTTCCACAACAGATTTGCGATACTTTTATACTGTCGCAGAAACTACCAGGTATTGGGAAAGAGTGTATTCGTGATGACGCATGTCCAAGAGTAAGGCACTTGTTCAATAAACTTTCCAAAGACAAAATTCCTACAAATAGTGAACGGGCCCTTACTAGAGCTGTTACTGGACTTGGAAATGGACAAGCTGTTCGTCTTACACCATCTGAGACCATTTCCGTGGCAAAAATGATTAACAGAGACGTTGCCAATCGATCAGCTACTTTATATAACAGATTTATTGTAAATCATGTGCTATACACTTCGGAAAGTTATACAAGATCCCAAAGACACCATGATTATTATGTGCAAATCGACAGCTCAACTACCAAGTATGGTATCGTTGTTGGGCTTTACCGTGTACAGCCAGACTGTCAATGCAGCACTGCTGAATTACAGGCATGCCAGTGCGAAGTATATTATGTTGTGATTGTGAAAAAACTTGATTTGTGTGGAGGAAGACCGCTGTTTTCCAACAAAGAATGTGGTGTTACTTCACATTTCGTAAGAGAGTGTACAAACAGAGACCAAATTGTGGCTCTCAAACCTGACCAAATTAAAGACAAAGGCGTACACTTAAAACTACGAAATCGAGACTTTTTTTTTGAATTGCCATGTAAGTTTTACGGCGATTAACTCAAAATAGAAAGGATTGCTGTTGTCTTTCATTTTTTGTAAGTTTGAGAATACTCGACTGGACAGATATTTTAGATACACAGTATTTGTTGCATGTTGTATATATGACGCGTAACTCAAAACAGATAACTTCTTGTATATCGTACAAAGCTTTGCTTATAATGCATGCCACTACATATGTTTTAAATTGTTTATAATCATTAATTTGTACTATAGCTCTTTTGGAATGTGTTGTTTTATTCATATCATACAGAAAAATATGTAAATTGCATTTCACTGTCGTAACAGTCAACAAGACATTCCCAAAACGATTTTTATTACAAATGAAAAATCCAACTTCATCTCACAATAATTTTTTAGCTAATTCAAGGATGATTTGAGTTTGTTATTTTACATTTTTCCCATAGCTTTTGTAAGAATTTGAAAATATATTTTTCTATAAGTTTGCAAATTCCTGTGAATTTTCTAAAGCACTTCTTATAAGAATTCTCTTTTCTATGAGATTTCACATTGTAATAGGAATCCCTGAAGGAATCGCATACCAACTATAACAAAGCAAACAACTTAATTCAATGGTGGCGAAATCGAAAATCAATTCCTCTTCAATTGCATGCTGTTGGTGTTCGTAATGGTTGTAAAACTCATTATCTAATGACTAAATTTCGACATGTTTTGTTGCTCTGCTTTGAGGAGTTTAATCAATGTCAGCTTAAAGCTGTTGTTTAAATTCTGGTAAAGAATTCAAACATCAGCAGCCTTTGATTCAAGAGATGACATTATCATTGTCTTTACACAACCACCAACTCCATACCCTATATATTTCGATTGCTATATATGTTTTCCAATAACATTTCCAGGAGAATTCCTATAGGAATTTTAATACTCGTAAAGGTTTTTAATTCCCACTATTTTTTTAAAGGATTTCCAGTCGGAATTGCAAAACAAATCACCATTATGGATTCCTATAGGATTTCCTACAAGAATTCAAATATTCTTATAGGCTTTAAAATTGCCGCCATTTTTTTAATATATTTCCTATCGGATTCGGAATAAAAATGAATTCCACTCTGCCTTCCTATAGGATTTCCTACAGGAATTTAAATATTCCTATAGGCTTTAAAATTGCCGCCATTTTCTTAATATATTTCCTATCGGAATCGGAATAAAAATGAATTCACTCTGCCTTCCTATAGGATTTCCTACAGGAATCTTATATTCCTATTGGAATTCTAATAAGATCCTATTGATAATTTTCGTAAGGGAAGTTCTATATTTGTAAATTCAGGCGTGCCGACTGATTTATTTTGAAAGTGTATTTGCGGGGGAGGTACACTTCTAGGGCATTTACCTGTTGATAAGGGCATTAAACGTTTTCACGTATTATTTTTAACTGTGGGAAAAATCTTTACTATGATAATGACTCATAGAAACCAGTATTACAGCTCTTTGTACTTAAAATTTAAAATTAAGCAGCTTTAATTTATTTTGCTTGATGCTGCTCGCTGGACTACCCCTAGATCCACTACTGAAACAAATAAAGAAAGTAAGGAGGTAAACCTTCAGAATTTTCAGCTTTAAGTACTAGTTTTTTAAGCTGCATACTTCATAAAATAAATTGAATGTTTACTGTCTATATAAACTATGAATATACTCAAAGCTTCATTGACTTTGATCACAATGAGTTTCTATACACCATGTTTGATACTTAGAACGGCTGCTGAGAGAAAAACGTTCATGCTGACTTTATTGCTTTACGTTTGCCGATAAGAAATTTACAAAGAAGGCTCTAGCACAAAACCTTAACGTCATTAAACCATACACTTTAACCTACACATTAAAAGAGCGTGTGACAAAAAAAGATTTCTTGAGGGAAAGTGGCGTGAACGAGCATTCATCGACAGTATCACAGTATAGAGAACATACAGTAGGGCCAGTCCATTTAATTTTTACGTGCCACGTATATCTTATTACGCATGTGATTACCATATTGGCATCCAGTCAATTGCATTGTGTGACTAATACGATTGACGATATGGCAAACGGCAGCAAGTAAACTAAATAAATATACAGCAGCCAGTTGCACAGCGAAGTGGCCCTACTGTTTAGTCCTATAATGTGACAGTATAAACGATTAATATGGAGCTGACAATATTCATAACAATATCTTATGTAAATAATTACAAAAGAATTTGACAGTATACAATATGTAATTTTACATAATATCATGATTTAATTATAATGAATCACGATATGTTCACATGATGAATAATTTGTATATCTACATGTATTGTTAAAATTTTGAAAATCCTGTCACAACTTTAATGATAGTGTTTTGTTAACTTTGTCGTCATTGCTTAAGTATTTATTATACGCAGAGTTAATGAATCGCTAATTATTTGCATAGTTTGATATAACAGTACAAATGAAAATACACAAGAATATAGACCACATTAGTTTTGAAATTACCATATATGCAATACTATCATTTGTGTGACGCAGTAGTTACATAATCACGTATTATATTATTACGTGCGCACGCGCGAGAAAACGTAATAGCAAGTATTTTATTGGTTTTTGGACTTGGAGTTGCCCACACGCGTGGAATTTTCTGATGATAGAGTTTAACAAGATCCTGTTTTCTTTGCTTTTTATCATTTCCGTTACATAGTGAGATGTAAAAGAAGCCTGTATTTGGTAAAGAATTTCAAGTCCCACCTATTCTATAACGTACAGACAAAAAGGATCGGACGTAAGTGAGAGAAATTGTTTCTTATTTTCTTGATTTGTACTTGTGCTTTTATGAAATTTACTAAATAAAACAAAAATATTTACCAAATATTGGGAAATACTATAAATACCGGGCAAATGTAGCTAATAAATAAACCAAGAAACGAAAGCCAAATGTGATTTTGTTTAAGTTGAGAGTGTGAACCTTGGACGTAATTCAATAAATATTTCCATACATGTTGTCAGCGTAAACTCTTGTTTCACATCTTCACATTTTCATGGTGACGTTGCTTTGCCATGACTTTATTCAAATCACATTTTGAATTGACACGTGGCGTAATAAGTATAGGTGAAAGCTCATATCCTGATTACATCTAATATCACAATGTTTACAACTATTTTGTGAAGGATATCAGATCATTTAACAGTAAGATTCTTTTCATAGTAATTTAAGAGTAGCATAGATATTTGTTGTATCTTCACTTTTAATTGCTGAAACTAATACATTTTGGTGGATGATGAATAATTATAGCTAATTAAACACATGATTCTGAAGACAAATTTTATATCAGAACTTCTTGCATTCTGTACACTACTTCTAATGTTGCTGAAAAGTTATGAAAGTTTAATAATTCTACGGCATTTCATGTAATTTTCAATTTGTGAATTTAAGATTTATAAAATTATACGCAGTGGGAGTCTGTTCAAAATCATTCAAGAATAGCGTAGATATTTGTAATATGCTCCCATCACCTTGGCAAGCGAAGCTGTCAACAAAGACCCTTTGGTACAATTCTTCAGGGAATTTTTTGAGAAAAGTTAGCAGTTCAGTCGCTTAAAATCGGCTCTCTTGTAGATAAAGAGTATGTTGAATCTGCACAAAGTGTAGATTTGTGTGATAATCTACACATATGCACAGTAATTACGCAGTACATGTTTCATCCTCATTATCAGCCAGTCAGAAAGAGGTGGCAACATCAAGGTAAATGATGTTAATAAACAATGAAGGCATGGACTCATATGAACATTCAGACAATTAAGTTGTGAGCTTTTCACTCTCATGAACATGGTGTGCATCATCGTGAGGTTTCTCGGGTAAATCCACAGGTACACGAGGTCATCATCAGGAGTACAAACGAATTGACCATCTGCCTTGTTCAAAGTGTTTGATCGCCTCTTTTTTTCTCTGTAACTAAAAATCCACAGTGCTTGATTTAATTTGATATATAAATAAATATTTTCAGTTCGCTAAAAGTTAGTTAATTTTATTGCTGAATACGGACCTAATGTGCAAACGTTTCAAGTGGCCATGTTAGTAACTTGTGACGTCATCAGTAAAACACGTTTTCACAGAATGAAAATTATACAGAAGGGCCACTCAAGTGAGCACTGCATCCTCACGGCCGCCATCATTCCAGCAAGATACTTCGGGTTTTCACTTGTCTTCAACCACTGTAATTACATGACGTCATTTTTTTACAATGAAATGGAAATAATTTCAATATAAGAAATGACGTCGTGTCATTTAAGTGGTTGGGAACAAGTGAAAACTCCTAAATATCTTACTGGAATAATGGCTGCCAATATGTGCGGCACAACATACGCGAGGACAAAAACATCAAAGGGTCCGACACGAGTGACCTTTTGTATATTCCATATTCAGTGACGTTTGGTTTGCAAGCTACAGATTTTTTATAACTGACGCTCCATTTGTCTTCGTTATTTTTTAATTATTTGCTTAAATTCACAATATTCTAAAATAGGTATTTTAGAAAGAAATGATAGGTATTTTAGAATATCGTATAACTAAATCAATGTACATTATGTGACTTAAGCTTTTCAAGATTTTTTTAAGCTTTTACAAAATTTGTTAAAAATCGTGCTATGGAAAACAAAACCCATTAGTTACCCTGATCGAACTGATTTTGAAAATTCTTCAAAATAATCCTAATATCTTCGGGAACATTTATATTGCGAAACTGCTAAAGTAATTAACTTCCATACAGCTATAGAAGAGAAATACCTTTACATACCTTTACTAAGATTCAAGGACGAGCGTAAATTATTTTTAAGTATGATTTATATTATAATCTAAACTAATTTGTAATTTTTTAGTGTATACTATCGTATTTTTTATCTTTTAACCTTTTGGACATCCTAAATGTTTTTTATTATGGAACTCTATCGCATAAATTCTAGTAATTTTTTTATTTTACTGAAATAATTTGCATGCAGGTGTCCTAATGAAAACAGCTGTACGTTTTAAACTTACAAGATTGACCTGCTAAAATTTAAAATTATTATTATTATAGTATTATTACTATTTTTGTTATTGCATGTACTGGATTTTTTTCATAGCTACTAAATATTGCAACCAAATTATACATTTTTGCTACAATATAGGCTGAAATTGTTCATATATACAATCTGGAAGACAAACTGTGTGGAGCTAACTGAAGCCACAAATAATGGTGTGTATTATTTTATACTGCAGTTTATGCTCTTACAAATGTGGTCTATGTCTATACGGGGATTGTTTAAACTAAATTAGTCATGTCTATTTCATTATTTTTTAAAGGATACGAAAATGGATGCTATTTTCAGAGCCATACCACTGAATTGTTTTCCCTTGTTTGAAAAATACTGCTGTCTATCTATTTGACATTTACAATCATCGCTCCTGGAATTTCAAAAACATTTGATCGTCAAACTTCTTTTACTTGTAATGACAAGATGATTTCAAAATTCCAAGAAACTTCTCTTATAAAGAACATTGAATCAAGTTGTTTGAGACAATACCAAAATGAAACTTGGGATAATATATATGTGGTGTCCTTCAATTTCTTTTTTCTCTTTTTTTGGGGTATGATCTATGGACAGTCTGTGAGCAATCGACTTAAAAACTTTGATAAGTTCTTGTCAGAAAGAAGCAGTGAAGTCAGAAAGGTTGCATCTAGTTCTTCGGCGTTCTATTATTACATCATTTATTTGACTGTACGCGTGATCGGGTTGTCTATATTTGTTACAGTACTGTTTCCATGCATGTTTCCCATTGAATATTCTTGTTCGTGGCGTCCAACAAAAAAAGAAAACTCTTCGTTCAACAGTATAATTCTTCCTTCATATAACAAAACTTTCCTTAATTGTGAAATTCGCGATGGTAACAGTGAATGGTGGATTAAATTTGTTGTAGCTGTTGATGTTTTATCGATAATAATGACGATATGTCAACTAGTACACCTATTAAATAAGGCCAGTAATGACAATTTTTTCACATCAGATAAGGAGTTTTTCACGGTATACATACTCCAAAAACGTGCAGAATTTCGAAAATGGATAAAAGAAATAAAAAATAAACTTCACTTGAACAAATTATTTAATATCCACGATAACGTAGGCAATGCACAAATGTCTCAGCAAAATCTTGAAGATATTTATGTCAACGTCATAATGCAAGCAGAAAGACAATTAAGTAAAGCTTACCCAGAAACGCATGAAAGACACGAGATCCTTCATTGTCATTTCAAACTTAATGAAAGTGCGAAAAAACTCACAAGAGCAACTGACATTTTTAAGTCAATTCCAAATAGCAAGTCGTATCCTAGCTCCATTTTAGTCATTGGAAGGCCAGGAATTGGTAAAACTATGTTGACGAAAAAACTTATTCATGAATGGAAGACAAATGAAGACGACTTTTGGCGCGATAAGCTGGTCATTTTATTGCAATGTCGTGCGATTAAAGAGAAGTACATTACTTTTGAAAAATGTTAAAGAGTTGCGTTGGATTTTCATTTGAACAGTTTTCAGATATTTACGAATTTATAATGTTAAATCCTGAAAGAACTGTTCTTATCGTCGACGGTCTTGATGAATTGCCTTTAGATAATGGAGATCTTCGAACTGACGACTCAGGGTCCCCTAATGAAAAAAGGCACGTCATTACACACTTAAGTATGCTAGTTGAAGGTAAACTATTGCCTGATGTTACTGTTCTTATTACATCACGACCCACAGCTGAACATAAATTTCGAGATATGGAATTCGCGAGGACAGTTGAAATCTTGGGCTTTTTTGAGGATGAGATAAAAGAATTCGTGGAAAAGTTTTGTCATGAAGATAGGAATATCGCTGACCGTATTCTAAATAAGATTGAAATTTCTCTTGAACTTCGCAGCTTTTGTTACATCCCTATTAACACTAAAATTGTTTGTATGACCTTAAAAGAATGTTTTGCAGATGATGAAAACTATAGTCCAAAGACTATGACTGAATTGTACGATAGAGCAATTAAAGTTTTACTATGGCAAAGCCATCCCTTCTCAGGGGCAAGACTACAGAAAAGGATTACTTGAGAATTCCTTTACCATCCGAGCTTGATAAAGATCTACAAGAAATAAAATATGTTGCCATGGAAGGGCTTAAAGACGGACGCCTGATTTTTGAAAGAAAAAGTAACAGTAACTTTAAAATCTGGAAAACTGTGGCATTTTCAATAAGATTTATGATGATGAACGCCATCTTTACTGTTTTCTTCATTTGACTCTTCAAGAGTTTTTTGCAGCGTGGTATATTGTTGACGATTGGCAAAACATTGGAAAGTTTTTGGATGATCATGTTGAAGATCCTAAATGGCATTTGGTAATCGAATTTGCTGCTGGTTTGGTTGGAAATGAAAAGAAAGAGAAGGGAAAAGATATCAGCGTTATTCTAGAGAGGTATTAAATTTATGATCAATGAGCATTTGTATCATTGAAAATGTTTGATTGTATCTTCATATTGTATGTGACTAGATGTATTTTTCTAAGTTAATTCATCATCACCAAATTCTTAACATTAATTTTGCGAGGCAGATGAGCAAATATTAAAGTAACGCCTCCTCGATAAGTTTTAAACTAGACTGTCGCGTAGAGTTTGGAAGAAATTATTTCTTTTGATCGTTTGTTGTATACTTCAGAACATGGTTTTTGCATGTTTGCGGATGTAGACCACTGTAGATCCCTGAGTTGTTGCACTTCATTAGAGTATTTGGATGCACTGGGAAGTTATTTAATCAGCAAATAAAAGACTTCAGCATAATGCACACTAAGATACATACATATAAAGCCCATAAAATAAACCTTACGTTAAAACATTAAGTGAAAAAATCTGCTAATGAGAAAACAAATCTAGTGGATTCTCCAAGCATTACGTTCCAAAAGTGTAGGACTATTTTTGAAATAGTTTCAAAATGAGCAACAGCAACAAGCAAACAGCTGTAAGCTATAACTTAAAACACAAATTTTGAATTTAAGGTTTTACCTTGATTTTCATCAAAAAATTGCTTGCCGAATCCGAAATACAAATATACATTTTGTGTATTTGGGAGTGGAAAATTGCGAAACTTTCAAAAAAGCTGTCAATTTCGGTAAATCTCAGCGGCAAAGGACAAAATCCTCCATTTTGTTGGCGTCATACAATAATTAAAGCCGCTCTTGAGATAGCCGCTTCAGTTATTATAGAACTCAATGGAGTTAGCATTCCAGATATATTTACCTCAATGGGCTTAGTTAAAGTTTACCTGTGCCTTCAACTTACTCAAAATTTGCAAGCAACGACCATTGAGTTCTATAAGACCTGGAGGGGAAAAGAGGCCTGGACACCGTGGTCAAAAACATGGCGGTAATGGCGGATTTTGTTGGTCAAAACTTCCACTTTAAAATTTTTTTTCAATATTCACTCCCTCCTGATTTCCAATACTGTTTATATGAACGAAAACAAGTGAGAAAAAAAAACAATTACGATACCGACAGCATACCATTTGAAAATAATGCTTCAGCTTTGCGTGAAAAACACAGTACACACACACATCAAAATAAAAAAAATCGACGCTAGAGAAACGCATATTTTGGCTGTAACATTTAAATTATTTTATGACATTTTAACCTTTAAAAGTGAAAATCAAACGGCATTCATTAGTAGACCTGTCAATCTCGTCAAACTTATACTTTATTTCATGCTTCTGTGCATGCGTTTGACTGTTTGTAAACAGTTTGGTGCAACTATTTTTCTTGCTCAAATGGATAAATCTGTGTTAAAATGCTCCTAAGGAAGCAAGAAAATGTTTGCTTCTGTCCTACGACATAAGTCAACTGAAATTTACCATGGATAAGTATCATAAGTGTATTGTCATTACCTGATAAATCTACTGAAAACTCATAAAGAAAGTATGTTGAACTAGAAGAGCTACAAAAAAGAAAAAAATTCAAAACACCATTATATGTTGGTTGGAAATTTGTATTTTGTAAACTGCTTGGCAGAACCTTGGGTCTATTACTGAACAGAACTACATTAATTTTCCATTGAAATTACAAATTTGGAAACTGAAGTGCATTGGTTTCTTTGACAAAAACACTCTGTCTATTGCTGCATGAAGGCAAAATAATTAATTGACAGTGTAGGGAAAGAAATTTATCAAGTTCTATAGATATTATTGTGTATTACTTACAGTCTTTTGGAATTGAGTAATGTATGTCAAAAACAAGATATAATTTTTCAAAAATGCTAACCCTTTTAAGCACTACTACTCTTCTGTTTGCTTGAACAACTTACAGCTACGAATACTAATTATTTATATGTACAAACTAACAATTGAGAATAAAATGACAAACAACTTGATAAATCTTTGTATTTTCCATCACGCCTTTGAATTTGTTTCTTTTATCTCTTGCTAAAAAAATATTAATGAAAACTTACAAATCAAGTTTCTCAAAAAAAAGTATTTTGTACAAAGTACTAAACATAATTGGAAAGGTCACATGTTGAAGACAGACTTTGCTTCTCTGACTATGTTGCTTGACCATGAGCAATTTAAATATGTTTAGAGAATTCTTTTATTGATTTGTACTAATTCTTCATAAGACACAAAGAATTTCTAAGCCAACTATTTTTGCTTCCACTACATTCAACTTCATTGTAACCAATGTATCCGATGTGAATTTGTGGATCACCTGGAATCATACCAAGTATGGATTTGGTGAGATAAGACAACAATATGTTTAATTTTCATGCATATTAATGATATAATCATAAGCTATTGTTGAACAAAAATTTCAAGGTAGGAGCAAATCTTAGCACATTGTTCAACACACTTCTTTTATCTTGCTTTTGAAGTAGTAACCTGTTTTTTATAACAATAAATAGTTCACTTACAGAAACGCGAAGTAATACTTTACAACTGTTTGCATAAATCCAACTTTCCAAACCCATTATAATTGTCTACACTATACAGTCAGTCAAATTGAGCAGGCAAGCAGTTTAATAGTTACTTATATTATACGGCATATACCATAGTTCTCATTAACTTTGCATGGCACTGCATTCAATTTTAACACAACTCTGTTGTAAACTTTCCCTTCATCTTTAAAAAATAAATAAGAACAAATTCTGCCCAACTTTTGGGAGGTAAACTCAATTCAAATGAGGAGAGTTTAGCTTGATCATGATACAAGATGGTTGCAAAACTCGATAAAAATTGGCAGCTTCACCACGTCTGACGAGTGATAAAGTGAAGAACAAACAAGACTGGGCCAAAATAACTTTAAATTAAAACTTAGTTGTAGAAATACTCTTCAAGTATTGTGTTAAAAACAAAATAGTAAAACTACTACTGTGCTACTTACCGGAGTCATGAAATGTTTCCTTTTCTGTCGCTATTTCATCATCCGCAAACCACGGAAGCTTGCAAATTGTTTAATAAATATAACTTTAAAAAGTGTTTATGCTAGGAAAATAGTTTTGATATTTTCTATACACCCAATCGTGGTTGTCAAATCAGCGTGGGCGACAAAATTTTTATTTCATGAGCCCGCGTCTCTCCGCTGATTTTGACCACCAAAATCCGCCCCATGTTTTTGACCACGCGGCCGCGCGCTAATAATTTATAGTAATTTTGTTGACGTTTCCCCTCCAGGTCTTATAGAACTCAATGGCAACGACGTAGTTGTTCATGCAACGTACTTGACATAGTCTGGATCCGCCCCTGATTAAATCAAACTAAAGTAGATGTTTTGAACCCGGGAGTGTCGTCACTGTATAGGGATATACAGTAGGTGCACATCGTGTGCAATTAGCTGCTGTTTATTTAATTAGATTACTTGCTCCCGTTAGCCATGTTATTATTTCTATTGGTCAAAAAAAGCAATTTACTAGCTGCCACTATGGTAATCACATGCGTAAGAAGATATGCGCGGCACGAAAAATTCAATGGAGTGGCTCTACTGTATATTAACTATACTGTGGTATCGTTACATGTTTATGGCTAAAGATAGTCCAGGTCAGTAGAGTCATGAGAAAGAATGCTGGTATTGATATTACGGTCGTCAAGTGAGGAGTAAACGTCAGGTTAGGCGTATTTATTATCTGGTTTTTACAGCGTCGTAATTTGTGCACAGGAAATGTGTGGGTGTGTGGGTTTCAATTGTGTTCTGTTTTTGTGGATTAGTCTGAAGTAATGAGTTAGTTGCTTGTTTGTTTGTTTTGTGAATGAGTCATTTCTAAGGTGCCGGTAATTGTTGTGATCTAAATGTATTACTTACAGCACTGACTATAGACAATGGCTTACATTAGAAAGTTGGTAGACCAACTTAAAACAAAAACCCCTGAAGAGATCACAATAACTACCGGCTCCTTACAAACGGCTCATTCACAATACAAAAACAAAAAACTAACTCATAACTTTAGACTTATCCACGTTAACAATACACAATTGAATACCACACTGCAACACAATTTCTGTACACACAATACGATGACGTAAGAACAAGATAACAAAAACGGCTATCCTGACGTTTACTCCTCACTTGACTCTGAAGATGACTACCACTAAGGTTGTCGAAACGTCGGTCTACAGCAACACCAACAGTCCTTCTCAGAACTCTACTAACCTGGACAATTTTAATTCACAAACGTTTTACTCAAACCTCGTATATTAATGAGTATGTTAATAACTCTTTCTTTAAACCTAGCATGTTATTGAGCATCTCATATATATTCACAAAAAAACACCGGTTTTTCTGTTTGTAAAGCGTTGTTCCCATAAAGTTGTAATTGTAAGTTAATCGCAGAAAAAGCAATCACTGACGTGAAACCATTGATATGGGAACGCTAATCGGCGATAGCAATCGACAACAAATTTAAATATTCTAATCAACAGATAGAAATTACTTGCTACGCAGCAGGGACTGAACTAGGACTTTTGGAACGTAATTCAAGAAACGCCAGAAGCTTTAGCCATCTTGTAGGTTCTGGGAACATACAGGGAAAATTTTGATTTTCAACGTCTCGGAAGTTCAATTTCCGGCAAAGCAATTGCTAATCATATTTTGTAAGCGTTGTATGTGCATAAAACTAACAGTTTAGTAGCATTTTAATTGAAATGGTGAACGATACTTAGTTAATTGGCTGTTTTTCTTAAATTTGGGGCTACGCAGCATGCCTAAAACACATATTGCTAAAACCTGGCAATATGGAGTTATGAAACTTAAGCTTTAAAAAAGGAAAAAATTATCAGAATTTTTAGTCAACAAAATCATTATGTTAGTAGTGGATAATTGTATTTTAAAACAAATAATGATCTAAATAATAGACAAATTGAGCAATTTTTAAAAAGTTGCTTGTAGGCTCAGAATTTTCACCATTATGCCCATTGGCTGCCTTGGGGCTCATGTTATTTTGTTAAGTTTGAGTTGATAGTCAAGGTAGAAGCATGCACAAAATTTTCGAAAAAAATTCACTGAACAAAATTTTCGCACACTTAAAAAATTAGCCGGACCCAAAGCTCATTCTCCCTTTTTATTTCAATCGATATTATACGCGTTTGCACCAAAGCATAATAGGCCGTCTTTGTGCATGAAGAAAAGTCGTCGACTAAATATTGCCATTAAACACACTAAGGTAGGCTAACGCATGTATGTTTTTTTGAAATATCGGCGTTGAGAACAGGGAAGTTTCTTTGTACTTATGGGTAAATATCACATTTAATTACAACAATTACAACTTTATGCAAACTATGGATAAAGTAAATATCTACTTATGGGTAAATATCTACTTATGGGTAAATATCACATTTAATTACAACTATTACAACTTTATGCATTATGGTAGCATTTATCTTTTGTGAAAAGATATTGGGCATGCTGCCAATATGCTGAACATTCAACATCGTAATTGCAATTTACAAACTTCCGGATCAACAATACCATGACATCAACAATATGGCTGCTATTATGTTATCATGTTATTGCTCTTTCAGTTTAGTTTGAATGTGAGATTAAGCTTATCGTTCACGATTGTTAACAGTACGTTTTTGTTCATATATTCGTCATCATTTCTCTAAGAATAAAGAGGCCCAAACACAAACCTAAAACGATAATTTCATATACGCAAGCGTGTGTCAACAGAGAAGATGTTTATAACTTATATATTCCGTGCCTATATCCCTTTTTTGGAGATAGGTTTTCTTGTCAATGGCTGAAGGGACGTAAGAAACATTAAATTGCTGGTGTATTTGTCCTCACAAACAGAAAATATTGTTGGATCTTTTGAGTCATTTTATGGAAGATAAATACAACATAAAGACATGTATACAATATAAATGATATGTTCCAACAAAAAAATTTAATTATATATTTTATTATGGGGTGTACCTACTTAACCTGACCGTTTAATACAAGTGCAAAAAAAACAAAAAATTAAGCTTAGCACATTGAAAATGGTGACCGCGTCCGTTTAATAGAGATGACCGTTTAATAAAGGTCACTTTAATAGTATTTGGACCAGGAAACTTTGCCATATAACCGCTTAACACAGGGTGACAGCTTAATGCGGTGCCGCTTAATACAGGTTCTACTGTGAAAGTAAAATTACATATATTTTGCTTCTTATAAACTTGCTCCGTGGCGCTGTAAGGCCCATTTTAGTTCATACATGACATACAGATATAATTTGTTTTTTTAATGAAAGTTTTTGGCGAATTAACTAATTAAAACATGCCTAAATGAATTTTGGCCTATCTAACCTCTTCCAGTCAACTATCACGCTGCCAACGCTACTGAACTGTTGTTCTGACAAGCAGCAAGGAGTTTTCACTTTCATGTAATATTAATTTGCACTTGGCTTTGGTAAACGTTGTGTGCATTGTCTGACTTATTTTAATTTGCTACCAAAAGATTGTAGCTGGCTATTGTTATCATAGTTGTTTTACAAGAACTTCTTATTTTAAGATGCTTTTCTGAAAGACTTTATCATTTTGAATAAATTAAACCAAACTTTTAAAAGTTTCACAATACGATATTTTTATAATTACAGGTTAGAAAGTTGGATGGCACATTTATTTTTCTCAGAGGGTAATAAAGCACTTGGTTTTCTTGGAATGAAGTGTTTATACGAATTACAAGACGACGATGAGATGAGATCAATTTGCGAGTCAAATAATTTTTCTGAAACAATATCCATTGATAAAGTTTCTTTCACGCCTCTTGACTCAAACGCCTTCTTTGAATTTCTCTCTGAATGCCGACAATTAAGAGAACTCGCGTTTTTTTCATGCCAATTTCCTAATAATCATAGCGTCATTACATTGTCAAAATATTTGACAAATGCAACAGCATGCAATGTATTTTCTTTAAAAATCAACTCCTGTTCTGTTAAAAATATATCAAAGCACCTTAGTAAAGCTTTAAAAAGTGAAAATTGTAAACTTAGTGAATTGGAAATTAGAAAAAACAATATAGGTGAAGAAGGTGCTAAATATCTTAGTAAAGCTTTAAAAAGTAAGAATTCTAAACTTATTAATTTGATTATTAATAGCAACAACATGGGAGATAAATGTGCAAAATATTTTAGCGAAGCTTTGACAAGTGAGAATTGTAAACTTACTAAATTGTCTCTTAGTCTTAACGAAATAGCAGCTGGAGGTGCAAAGTATCTTAGTGAAGCTTTAAAAAGTGAGACTTGTAAACTTACTAAATTGTCTCTTTCTCATAACAAGATAGGTGATGGAGGTGCAAAATCTCTTAGTGAAGCTTTAAATTGTGAGAAATGTAAACTTACTAAATTAATTATCAATGGTAACAAGATAGATGATGAGGGTACAAACTATCTTAGTGACGCTTTAAAAAGTGAGAATTGTAAACTTACTGAATTGTCTCTTGACAATAACAAGATAGGTGATAAAGGTGCAAAATCTCTTAGTGAAGCTTTGAAAAGTGAGAATTGTAAACTTACTGAATTGGATCTTTCTCATAACAATATAGGTGATGAAGGTGCAAAATATCTCAGTGAAGCTTTGAAAAGTGAGAATTGTAAACTTACTGAATTGTCTCTTGACAATAACAAGATAGGTGATAAAGGTGCAAAATCTCTTAGTGAAGCTTTGAAAAGTGAGAATTGTAAACTTACAGAATTGGATCTTTCACATAACAATATAGGTAATGGAGGTGCAAAATCTCTTAGTAAAGCTTTGAAAAGTGAGAATTGTATGCTTACTGAATTGGATCTTTCTCATAACAAGATAGGTGATGGAGGTGCAAAATCTCTTAGTAAAATTTTGAAAAGTGAGAGTTGTAAGCTTACTGAATTGTCTCTTTCTCATAACAAGATAGGTGATGGATGTGCAAAATCTCTTAGTGAAGCTTTGAAATGTGAGAATTGTAAACTCACTGATTTGTCTCTTTATATTAACAAGATAGGTGATGAAGGTGCAAAATCTCTTAGTGAAGCTTTGAAAAGTAAGAATTGTAAACTTACTGAATTAGATCTTTCTTATCACACGATAGGTGATAAAGGTGCAAAATATCTTACTGAAGCTTTGAAAAGTGAGAATTGTAAAATTACTGAATTGTCTCTTTCTCAAAACAAGATTGGTGATGGAGGTGCAAAATCTCTTAGTGAACCTTTGAAAAGTAAGAATTGTAAACTTACTGAATTGTCTCTTGATAGTAACAAGATAGGTGATGAAGGTGCAAAATCTCTTAGTGAAGCTTTGAAAAGTGAGAATTGTAAAATTACTGAATTGTCTCTTTCTCATAACAAGATAGGTGATGGAGGTGCAAAATCTCTTAGTGAAGCTTTGAAAAGTGAGAATTGTAAACTTACTGAATTGTCTCTTGATAGTAACAAGATAGGTGATGAAGGTGCAAAATCTCTTAGTGAAGCTTTGAAAAGTGAGAATTGTAAACTTACTGAATTGTCTCTTGATAGTAACAAGATAGGTGATGGAGGTGCAAAATCTCTTAGTGAAGCTTTGAAAAGTGAGAATTGTAAACTTACTGAATTGGATCTTTCTCATAACAAGATAGGTGATGAAGGTGCAAAATCTCTTAGTGAAGCTTTGAAAAGTGAGAATTGTAAACTTACTGAATTAACTCTTAAATATAACAAGATAGGTGATGGAGGTGCAAAATCTCTTAGTGAAGCTTTGAAAAGTGAGAATTGTAAACTTACTGAATTGTCTCTTAAATATAACAATATAGGTGACGAAGGTGCAAAATCTCTTAGTAAAGTTTTGAAAATTGAGAAATGTAAACTTACTGAATTGTCTCTTAGTTGTAACAATATAGGTGACGAAGGTGCAAAATATCTTAGTGAAGCTTTGAAAAGTAAGAATTGTAAACTCACTGAATTGTCTCTTAATAGAAACAAAATAGGTGATGGAGGTGCAAAATCTCTTAGTGAAGCTTTGAAAAGTGAGAATTGTAAACTCACTGAATTGTCTCTTAATAGAAACAAAATAGGTGATGGAGGTGCAAAATCTCTTAGTGAAGCTTTTAAAAGTGAGAATTGTAAACTTACTGAATTGGATCTTTCTCATAACAGTATAGGTGATGAAGGTGCAAAATCTCTTAGTGAAGCTTTGAAAAGTGAGAATTGTAAACTTACTGAATTGTCTCTTGATAGTAACAATATAGGTGATGGAGGTGCAAAATCTCTTAGTGAAGCTTTGAAAAGTGAGAATTGTAAACTTACTGAATTGTCTCTTAAAAATAACTATATTGGTGACGAAGGTGCAAAATATCTTAGTGAAGCTTTGAAAAGTGAGAATTGTAAACTTACTGAATTGTCTCTTTCTCATAACAAGATAGGTGATGGAGGTGCAAAATCTCTTAGTGAAGCTTTGAAAAGTGAGAATTGTAAACTTACTGAATTGTCTCTTGATAGTAACAAGATAGGTGATGGAGGTGCAAAATCTCTTAGTGAAGCTTTGAAAAGTGAGAATTGTAAACTTACTGAATTGTCTCTTAATAGTAACAAGATAGGTGATGGAGGTGCAAAATCTCTTAGTAATGCTTTAAAAAGTGAGAATTGTAAACTTAGGGAATTGTCTCTTAATAGTAACAAGGTAGGTGATAAAGGTGCAAAATCTCTTAGAGAAGCTTTGAAAAGTGAAAATTGTAAGCTTTCTGAATTGTCTCTTAATAGTAACAAGGTAGGTGATAAAGGTGCAAAATCTCTTAGTGAAGCTTTGAAAAGTGAGAATTGTAAATTTTCTGAATTGTCTCTTCATAGTAACAAGATAGGTGATGGAGGTGTAAATTCTCTTAGTGAAGCTTTGAAAAGTGAGAACTGTAAACTTACTGAATTGTCTCTTAGTTGTAACAATATAGGTGACGAAGGTGCAAAATATCTTAGTGAAGCTTTGAAAAGTGAGAATTGTAAACTTACTGAATTGTCTCTTTATAGTAACAAGATAGGTGATGAAGGTGCAAAATCTCTTAGTGAAGCTTTGAAAAGTGAGAAATGTAAACTTACTGAATTGTATCTTTCTTATAACAAGATAGGTGATAAAGGTACAAAATATCTTAGTGAAGCTTTGAAAAGTGAGAATTGTAAACTTACTGAATTGTCTCTTCATCGTAACAAGATAGGTGATGAAGGTGCAAAATCTCTTAGTGAAGCTTTGAAAAGTAAGAATTGTAAACTTACTGAATTGTCTCTTTATAGTAACAAGATAGGTGATGAAGGTGCAAAATCTCTTTGTGATGCTTTGCAAAGTGAGAACTGTAGGTTTACTGAATTGGATCTTTCTTATTACAACATAGGTGATGGAGGTGCAAAATCTCTTAGTGAAGCTTTGAAAAGTGAGAATTGTAAACTTACTGAATTGTCTCTTGATGGTAACAAGATAGGTGATGGAGGTGCAAATTCTCTTAGTGAAGCTTTGAAAAGTGAGAACTGTAAACTTACTGAATTGTCTCTTAAATATAACAATATAGGTGACGAAGGTGCAAAACATCTTAGTGAAGCTTTGAAAAGTGAGAGTTGTAAACTTACTGAATTGTCTCTTTATCATAACAATATAGGTGATGAAGGTGCAAAATCTCTTACTGAAGCTTTGAAAAGTGAGAAATGTAAACTTACTGAATTGGATTTTCTCATAACAATATAGGTGATGGAGGTGCAAAATCTTTTAGTGAAGCTTTGAAAAGTGAGAATTGTAAACTTACTGAATTGGATCTTTCTCATAACAGTATAGGTGATGAAGGTGCAAAATCTCTTAGTGAAGCTTTGAAAAGTGAGAATTGTAAACTTACGGAATTGTCTCTTGATAGTAACAATATAGGTGATGGATGTGCAAATTCTCTTAGTGAAGCTTTGAAAAGTGAGAATTGTAAACTTACTGAATTGTCTCTTAAAATAACAATATAGGTGATGAAGGTGCAAAATCTCTTAGTGAAGCTTTGAAAAGTGAGAATTGTAAGCTTACTAAATTGTCTCTTTCTCATAACAAGATAGGTGATGAAGGTGCAAAATCTCTTAGTGAAGCTTTGAAAAGTGAGAATTGTAAACTTACTGAATTGTCTCTTGATAGTAACAAGATAGGTGATGGAGGTGCAAAATCTCTTAGTGAAGCTTTGAAAAGTGAGAATTGTAAACTTACTGAATTGTCTCTTAATATAACAAGATAGGTGATGAGGTGCAAAATCTCTTAGTGAAGCTTTGAAAAGTGAGAATTGTAAACTTACTGAATTGTCTCTTTAACAAGGTAGGTGATAAAGGTGCAAAATCTCTTAGAGAAGCTTTGAAAAGTGAAAATTGTAAGCTTTCTGAATTGTCTCTTAATAGTAACAAGGTAGGTGATAAAGGTGCAAAATCTCTTAGTGAAGCTTTGAAAAGTGAGAATTGTAAACTTACTGAATTGTCTCTTAATAGTAACAAGATAGGTGATGGAGGTGCAAAATCTCTTAGTGAAGCTTTGAAAAGTGAGAACTGTAAACTTACTGAATTGTCTCTTAGTTGTAACAATATAGGTGACGAAGGTGCAAAATATCTTAGTGAAGCTTTGAAAAGTGAGAATTGTAAACTTACTGAATTGTCTCTTTATAGTAACAAGATAGGTGATGAAGGTGCAAAATCTCTTAGTGAAGCTTTGAAAAGTGAGAATTGTAAACTTACTGAATTGTCTCTTTCTTATAACAATATAGGTGATGAAGGTGCAAAATCTCTTAGTGAAGCTTTGAAAAGTGAGAATTGTAAACTTACTGAATTGTCTCTTCATCGTAACAAGATAGGTGATGAAGGTGCAAAATCTCTTAGTGAAGCTTTGAAAAGTGAGAATTGTAAACTTATTGAATTGTCTCTTAATAGTAACAAGATAGGTGATGAAGGTGCAAAATCTCTTTGTGATGCTTTGAAAAGTGAGAATTGTAAGCTTACTGAATTGGATCTTTCTTATTACAATATAGGTAATGGAGGTGCAAAATCTCTTAGTGAAGCTTTGAAAAGTGAGAATTGTAAACTTACTGAATTGTCTCTTGATGGTAACAAGATAGGTGATGGAGGTGCAAATTCTCTTAGTGAAGCTTTGAAAAGTGAGAACTGTAAACTTACTGAATTGTCTCTTAAATATAACAATATAGGTGACGAAGGTGCAAAACATCTTAGTGAAGCTTTGAAAAGTGAGAGTTGTAAACTTACTGAATTGTCTCTTTATCATAACAATATAGGTGATGAAGGTGCAAAATCTCTTACTGAAGCTTTGAAAAGTGAGAAATGTAAACTTACTGAATTGGATCTTTCTCATAACAATATAGGTGATGGAGGTGCAAAATCTTTTAGTGAAGCTTTGAAAAGTGAGAATTGTAAACTTACGGAATTGTCTCTTGATAGTAACAAGATAGGTGATGGAGGTGTAAAATCTTTTAGTGAAGCTTTGAAAAGTGAGAATTGTAAACTTACTGAATTGTCTCTTAGATATAACAATATAGGTGACGAAGGTGCAAAATATCTTAGTGAAGCTTTGAAAAGTGAGAATTGTAAACTTACTGAATTGTTTCTTTATCATAACAATATAGGTGATGGAGGTGCAAAATTTCTTAGTGAAGCTTTGAAAAGTGAGAATTGTAAACTTGCTGACATTAGATATAAACTTTAACCATATATAATATAAATTAATTTGCTAATTACATTAAACATGTTTAAAGAATATTTATTTGACCTTACAGTGTAAACAGCCAGTAGTCATCTTTTCATAAAGTTAATTGAATTTTCCTGTTTTTTTGCGTGTAAAAAGCACCTTTCTTCTTATCAATTTATGGTCTTTTGCTAGCATGCTTTCAATACTGAATCATAGTACTACCTAAAGAACCTTTTAATCAAATTATTTGACACATTGTTACAGCGACGGAAATGCGTTCTTTTTTGTTTGTTTGTATCAATTTGCTGTCTTTTGGCCGGCATGCTGTCCTTGCAGAATAGTGCTCTACAACAGGGGTCTCCAAACTTTACAGCCACATGAACTTTCATCCAGCATGTTGAGGGCCGAAGAATATGAAAAATTTCCACGTTATCCTTCAACTTTTTAAATCTCGCAATGTGCTTGGAACGTATGTAGGAAGTTGGGAGAAAAATTCTCGTAAGCCACTCTTGCTAGTTGGCTTCCGACATAACGTAAACTTTCTGCACAAAGTTTATTTTTTTTAATAATATAATTTTTCTTAAGTGCCTCTGCGGGCCGGATTGAAAGGCCCAACCAGCCGCATCTGTCCCGTGGGCCTTAGGTTGGAGACCCCTGCTCTACAAGTATGAAAACAAATTTAAAAACTACTGATAATGTTTCTGAAGTTTCTTTTTAAGATTTTTTGCAGAAGCAAATGTCCACCAGGACATATAGATACATGTTAAATAAATAGATGTTTTCAATCATATTTAACTCAATATCATACCGAACGTGTTTGCCTCAGAGACGTGGCTAGCATGCAAGTTTATTTTTGCAATGTTGATTTTAAAATCTGTTCACTTTGGAAATCTTCTGGTTGGCAGGATGTTTAAAAGAACGTTTTTTTTGGCAAAACTAAATAATCATGCTGGTTATGCCAATGTGACATCAGGTTTTATTTTTCCTGAAGATTGGCAAGCGACAATCGGTAACATAGTAATCCCTGAAAAGGCAGTAAAAACATTATATGCGTTGACCTTTGTGTTACGTTTTTGCCAGTAAACATTGATCATAAAAAAACTCATTTCAATATACTATTTAAATGATTAACAGAATTAAAGCATTATGAAGTGTATGTAGCAATGTATTTTATTGCAAATCTCAAGTATTTGCAGTGTTAAAAAATAGTAAATTTCTATAAGTTGTCAAAACTACGATAGTTGCTGCAAACCACGGGAAGTCAACAAACAATTAATAATGTTCATAAATAAAGTTATAAATAAAATTTCATAATTATTGAGTACAGGTCTCATCTTTTCTTCACATTACTTATGATCACATGCCATATCAACCACACAAACTTCTTGACACTTTTCAGCCTTTGTCACTAAAGAAGCTTGTTTTTTCTAAAAGTATTATGAGGCAGAGTCATACGGCATAGGTGAGTAAAACTGTTTCTTAAATTTATTGATTATAACAGTTGAGATATTTTGCGTGCGCAAAAAGTGTTCCTGAAGTGTTTTTTATTCTTAAATATCTCGCAATTAACTTCAGAAATTAAAATAAAGTAATAACCCCATTGAATAATTTAATAAAATATAACATATTTTTAATGGCACATAAATTTCATTGCTTGGACGTTTTTTTGTTTGTAAACGAAGACAAAGACAATTATTATGCGACCCTACAGCATCTGCATATCAATTTTATTAACAAGATTTGTATTGTTTTAGTTATCATAAAACAAAGTCTTTACTAAAATCATTCGATTTTCTTTTTTCTGTTTGCAGTCCAAACTTCGACGTTTTACAAAAATTATCAGTACAGTTTTTAAAATTCAAACGACTCACTCTATGTACAAACATATTTTTCAACTTGGTCACGTGCCAGTTTGCTTGTTGTAACTCATATTGAATATTTAATAATCTGAATGGACAGACTCATCACGCAAGATTTACAGCGTTTAACCTATATTTCTGGAGTTCTTATTTCCACCAAATCAGCATGTGCTCAATTTTGACAAAGAACTACAAGATATATGTGGCACATTCAACGAGTTTTTCAGTATTTCAACAAGAGTACTTTAGCATTGTAATCATGACTTCATCTGTTTACTTCATGCTTAAATCACTATAAATTTTGTGGTAAAATCAGGCAAAGTTCAATTGTGTTTATTTCTCCTTAAAGAACGTGCTGGTTTATAATAGCATTTGAGATACTAATTTTTTTTGCACATAAATGGTTTGAAAAATATAATTATAATTTTTTCCGATCGACAAAACCTTTGATGTGTTACAAAAGTCTTTGTATTAAGAGTTATTTATTTTAAATAATTTCACATAAATTTGTATCGTATAAAAATCTGCTGTGCAGAACCGATTAACATTAGTTTCATAATCATTGGTATGTATAGCAACAAAGTTGGCCGTCCCCTAGGCTTTATAAACATGTGTCTTTGTCTCGTCCAAACACTAACCGATATCATGCCCACATATAAGGTCAACAGTTCGTTGTAAGGACGCACTGGTCTGCGTATTGGTCAAAGATTGCGGAATGATAAGCTTGTTTTGAAAACATATCGCCCTTAATAAAATATAGTAATTTTGAAGCTTAGCTATAACTATCATTCGTTCGAAATCCATGCTTTGAGAAAATGAAAAAAAACGTTGCGTAATTAGAATTTGATTCTGCAATTGTTGAATTCAATGCATTCCGCAGGAATGACCGAATTTTAGAGATACAGAATGTCTCCAGAAGACAAGAAACGGTTGGTCGGTTCGAAAACAAGTGCACCACTATTTAACTGTCACTGATTTGCAAGCAACTTGATGTTTGTGAGAATGTAAATGAATTTAACGTTAACATTTGCAAAGGCTATCGGCAAATGCAGGTAATTGACTTTATATTGTGATCATATAATTACCAGTCTAACCTCATATACGCAATAGGTCATATTTTGCAATGAGATGCAACGTCCAGTCTATGTCAGAGCAGTGCTTATGATGTATTGGTGCTTAGGTCGTATTTTTTCTTGCTTTGAGATGCCAATGTAAGAAACTATCCCGAGAGTTTATTAGTCCACAAACTGGCTGTTGCCTACCCACGTGACCTCTACATAGTCACAAAATTATTTTACCGTTCTTTTAGTTACATTTCGTCCATTTCGTCCGTATATCTGCGTAAAGTAAAAGTTTCAGACGACAGCAACATTACATAAAGACCAGAAAATACTAAAGTTGGTGAAATTTTTTTTCTTTAATGACAATGCAGGTCGTTATAGCATTTAAGAAAAAGCTTGTGTACATTCATATCGATGATTTTACAGTCTGTATTAATATTGCCAAAAACAACACAGGCGTTCTGATTCCTGATGTGTCGTATACACGTATACTACCATGTTTATAACAAGCTTTCAAAAATGTTTTTCAAAAATTTCTGCCATTTCTACACATCCAAACCTTCCTAAGATTTATTTTTATCCTTATCGAACACATTAGAGGCTAAGCCAGCAAGAAAGGTGAGAAAGTATTTCATATTAACTATGTCTTACTCACTCAGTGTGACTCACAATTTTTCCTCTGTGTGTGTGTGTTTAATTAACACAAATGAATGACCATTGTATTTTTGACTATTGTGTTTCGCTTTCATCAGGCAATAAAAAGAAGATCATGGCCGTATCATTTGACAGCAATGTTGCTGAAGGCATTGTTGATGTTGAAAAACTATCGTCTAGCATGGAGACAGAGTTAGATAAATTACGTCATGCATTTACGAGTTCCATAACAACGAGAATTACAACAGGTATGGACATTAAATTATTTAGATGTTTCTCTTGTAAAATATCTTATCACTCAAGTCTTATCGCCTTACTCGCCTTCCCATGATCTCATTTACACACAGCCACTCAAAAACCAACATCCTTGCTCACTTACTCCTCTCCCTTGCTCATTCCAATATCTCCCTGTTTATTACTGATTTTCATGCTAATCATTTCTTTTCTCATCCATTCTTTCCTTTTGTCTCTTCCACTTTCATCATTTCTCCCCTTCAATTCCTCATTCACTCTCATTCACTTCATTCATTTCCATCCACTTTCATTCACTCATTCCATTTTCCATTCCATTCACTCTGCTTCATTCACTTCCACTCCATTCACTTCCCTCATTCTTCCTTCATCATCACTCCCTCATTCACTCATACATTCCCTCATTCACTCATACACTCCCTCATTCACTCATACACTCAAAGCATTATTAAAATCATCGCATGTCATTTATAATGCAGTGTTGACTCATGATATTCATTTTCTTGAAGTTATGAATCCTCCCTCTCTCCTTCAATTTCTTCTTCTATTCTTTCCCTTGTTCAATAACAAACTCCAACTTTCTTTAGCATAATCCCTTGTTCACTCACACACTTTTCTCTTCCTCCCTTCGTATTCCTTTGTTAACTTTTACATTTCCTTGATCATTCAAAAGTTTGATCTCAGGCAAATTTTGATCGTACCACAAAAAAAATCTGTCGAATTCCGAACCATTATGAATAGACTGTGTTGCATGTCGGACATGCAGTCTTCCATAATCAGGTGAATTTCGTTTGTTTTTCATAGTGGGATATACACTTGGTTAACGTTGTAGATTATAAATTATACAGATGGACTAAATTTAGTTACTACACGATTTTCTATAAAGATACTGCCCTTGTTCATAATATAATGCAGTGTTGACTCATGATACTCAATTTCTTGAAGTTATGAATCCTCACTCCCTCCTTCATTCCCTTGTTCAATAACAAACTCCCACTTTCTTTAACATAATCTCTTGTTCATTCACACAATTTTTTCTTCCTCTCTTCTCATTCCTTTGTTCATTTACACATTCCCTTGATCATTCATTTGCTAACTCACTATCTCCGAAACCTTAAGACAATAGTTTGTTTTTCTCAGTTCTCACTTTCTCAAGAAAAATCTTCTATTTTCAGCATTTTTTGACAGTATGAACATCTCGTTGAATATCTGACGTCATTTAAACTAAAGACAAAAAGTATGTTTTGAAAACTCACTACATCACAAAATCTAAAGTGTTATGGGTCATGATTGAACTGGTTTGAATGAAATGATTATTTATTAAAGAGCTTTTGTTTATTTTTTGTAGTTGACTCTTTGATTAGGGAAGACTTTGAATGACAAATCTATCTTCAGCCCAATACTAAATGAAAATGAAATTGCATTTTACATACCCATGTAAGTACTTTTTGGAATGAGTCTTGACAACATTTTACTCCATGTTTATTCAATTACCTCCACTCCAGTGGCGTAGGTGGCCTGCAGCATCGTAACCAGGCGCTTGGCTTGTTTTGCTTTGAGGTACTTCATATTTTATAAATTGAATGATTGAATGTAACACGGCGTGCGTGCTTGCGCGGGACGACACGCACGAACAAAAAATGGGAAAATCGCGTGGGAGCTTCCACACGTAATCGGTTTGTTACAGCCACGCTAATGCGCGATGCCCACGCACGCCATGTGAAGCGCCTGGGTACGAGGCTGGCTGGCCTGCATGTTTGGTCTTGCAATGTAAATTTTTCGATGTTAACCGACTGTGTTAACAACAGTTATTTAATCACGGTTAGCACTAACTATCGTAGTTTACTTTTTTACTGTACGTACGTAAGTCCTAAATTAAACTGCGTTGCACGAAACGTAGTCAGTCAAATAATTAACTAACTGCGTAGGTAACTTGCGTCGAAACTGCATGGAGAGTTTTTTTACATAAAATTGCATAACGTTTAATGAATTTTTTGTAATGACGTTGAGTGAATGCAAATAACAACGAAAAAACGACGATGAAATAAAAAAACGCTCACCTTCTGCAGTAACCTTAAAATATTGCAGATTATTGTCGTGTTTACGATGCAAACGAAAATTTAAGAAAAAGATTCAAAGAAAACATTCTGACTATTGAATTCGGATTTCTTCAGAAACTTTATTTTATCACCTGTACAACCAATTTTAAATGAACGTGCTGTGCAGAATGAAACAACCGTATATTTGTCCAAATATTCATATTATGTTGTACGTGCTATAGCATCATAGTGTTTGAATAACCTGCTGTAGACCTTGAAACTAAGCGAGAGGTTATGATCAGTTGCGTAACTAAAACCACAGAATAGATATCTTAAACAGAAGGTCCACTCTTATCGGAACCTTTGATGTTTGTGTTCCCCACTTTTCTGAAGCAAATTTCAAGCAGACACGCCTTCCAGCAAGATACTTCCGCTAGATCACAATAGAAAATATAGATGTTTTAGTATTTATGTCTACCTTTATGTTTATCTTTATGCCTACTTTTATGTCTACGTTTATGTCTACCTTTATGTCTGCCTTTATGTCTACGTTAATGTATACCTTCATGTCTATCTTTATGTCTACCTTTATGTCTACCTTTATGTCTATCTTTATGTCTACCTTTATGTCTACTTTTATGTTCACCTTTACGTCTACCTTTACGTCTACATTTATGTCTACATTTATGTCTACCTTTGTGTCTGCCTTTATGTGCACCTTTATGTCTACCTTTATGTTACCTTTATGTTTACAATTATGTCTACATTTATGTCTACCTTGGGTCTATTTTTATGTCTACCTTTATGTCTACCTTTGTGTCTATCTTTATGTCTACCTTTATGTCTACATTTATGTTTACCTTAAAATTTATGCATTTATCGTATTATAATTTTTAGTAACAGAATACATATTCCTTTATTTGCTGTATTAAAATGCACTATAGTAAATACAATATATTTTGGTTAAGTCTCCGTCGATCAGCGTGGTCGAGTGGTGTGATACAGGTTTCTCAGGTTGAGGTGTGAGGTTCGAGTCCTTCGAGGTTCAGTTGATGATGGGCATGGTGTGTTAAACGTTAGGCTTGCAACGAACGAGAGACGAAAGTGTGAGGGTGATGAAAGTGGATAAGTTGAGGAATGTAATGTTGTGCACAAAGTACGCAAATGGTATTTCTCTTGTTGAATTTTTCGAGAATGGAATGCGACACTTAGAAAAAGATCAAAAAAATAGGGGATACCCACACAATTTTTTGGCCTAAAAAAGCTAAGTCTTTTGATCAAATTTTTCTGTGACTCCCTAGAAGTTAGGGAGTCATATTTTTAATAGTCAAGAACCTCAGAGCAAACAGATCGCCCTTTAACTCTCTACTAACCTCAACCTTGCACTCAATCCTTAAGCTACAACCCATACCAGCACCGACACAGGGACGAACCAAGAACCTCGTGCATTGGAGGTCAGACAAAGCCCGTTGAGCCAGAAGCTCAACAACGAATACAACAGAGTTTTTGGAACATTTGCCACTTTTCCTTAATAGAAAGACATATAAAAACTTGTCGATAGCATATATCAATTAAAACTTTCAAATAGAACAGCATTTAATAGCCTTTATTATTTATGGCTTTAAAAATGTTTGGCAAATGCCTTCGCTGGCATCATAGTGATAATAGAACTATAATTTTCCGTATTTTTAGTGGAAAGACATGTAAACCATACAAAAACATATCAATTAAATCTTTGAAATGGAAAAGCATTTATTAACCTTCTTTGCACTTACGTCTTTCAGTTTAAAAATGTTTGAAAAATGCCTTCATGCTTCGCTGTCTTATGTTAACATTTCATTCGAAGCAATTCATGTTTCTTACACGACGAAAGAAGATGAATAAAGCATGTGCAATATCATCCGCTGTCACGTGATGAATCTGGACAATCACACGCAAGACCTTATGGTCAATAGTTTCCATTTAAAAGCGTCCATATTGATTCTTGGTTCGAATTTTCTATGAACGATCTTTGAACTCGTGGAATGAGTAACGAAGCAAGCGACAAAGATAATGCTTGCTTTATTCAATATAGGCTGAATACATTTTATTGTTTAATGATTTTTGTAATACCATAGAACAATGATAATTTTCGTTTGCACTTAAGGGAGAACATAGTTTTTTGTTTGGTAACACTACCTATGAGGATTATTTTCGAGAGATATCAGGCAATTAGTTCAAATACAAAGAATGAAGATTGAACAATGGTGTACAATCAATGCATCATGATTGGCGTAAAACATGTGATGAATAATATCTTTAGGCATTCGTGACATGATGTTTATAATATTCATTGTTAGCATTAGAAAAATTTAAGCGATGTTTAATAAATTTAATTCGGAAAACAATAGTTTTTCTTAAACAAAAGAGCTATGTTTCCTCATTATTCTATGGTATTATGCAAATCATTAAATGAAATTTATTCACCCTATCAAATAAAGCATGTGTTATCTTTATCGTTTAGCCATGCATTCAATGAGTTTGAAGCATTAAGATGTGGGCGACTTCAAGTTTTGGCACTTTTTATTAGCGTTGAGTCGTGTTAGAAACGATTGTTTATCATTATGACCTTGAAGATGTTTATTAAAAGTTAGAAATGGTAAAATAGTACGAACAGTGGCGGCTTCGTGAGAGTAGATACAAATGATCCTGTGCGTTTAGTGAACAACGGGCAACATAAATTCATTGATCATTTGTAAATGATGTTTGTGGTGTAAGCAGACGATCAGATGCGAAGGTCAATTATGACATACCTCACCATGGATTTCTATAAATACACTTTTGTATACAGAAATTTATGGTAAGAGAAAGTAAAATAAAAGAGATCTATTTTACTTGCTGACCGCGTTATTAGTAGAATAAAATAAAATCTCGGGATATTTTTATATTGCAATAGACTTATACCTTATGTGTACATGGTTTATGTTTCTTACATTAAATTTCTGAGAACTTTTGTACTGTGACGTGACAAAAAATATGTAAAAACTCCTAATTTTTGTTATGCATCATCAACCAGCAGCAAAAGTATGGTGGCTACCGTCCATGCCTTCTTGACATCCCAGTTCGAAGCCTGCCTGTTACCTTGAAAGTTGCATCGCCTAACAAGATCTACAAATGTCAGTGTGCAAGTTAGATAGAAGTCTAAACGATAGTTCAAGATGGTGGATGAACGAGAGATGTGAAGAGAGATAAACGAAAGATGATCAGACGAGAGATAAAGATAACATGTGAAGAAACCATATAATTTAAATTCTTTTAACTTTTTCTTCATAAATTTTCACGAAAATTTAGGCAGTGCACTTTGAACCTGCAATCAAGTGCGCCGAAGGCGAGCATTTCGCTTGTGTTAAATCTTCCCGACACTAAAAAGTTTTGGAACTTCTATTTAATCATTTTGTTTTATACATTTTAATAAAGAGAAATTGCTGATACACAATAATACCATGTAGGTCTTGAACCCGTTTACATGTGCGCCGATGTAGAGTGTGTCTTGTTGGCGCCATACTTTTCAGATACTAAAGCGTCTTTAAAACTTGTATTTAAACTTTTTCTTCCGTGCTTGTTACGAAAAATGCGTTTGACGATATGCTACTTACTATATGTTTGATAAATGTTTTCCACCAAAGCAATGCGATGAAAGAACTATAAAGGCAAATGTTTTCTCTTTTTGAAGTTTTCATGTCGAAACTTCGCATTACAAGACATTAATGCCTTCGAGGTAGATGAAAGAAGACGAATAAAGTAGGAACAACGTCATGCATTGCTTGTGGTAAACCAGGGCAATGATGCGCATGTCCTTAGTCAATTTTTCTTATTTAATGGCGTCCGGATTATTTGACTAAACAATTGAACTGATTTATATTTTTTTCATCAACTTCTTACTGCAATGGCTTCTACCAAACCAAATTGTTTTTGCCAACTTTTTGAATTCCCTTGCTTACTTTTTTACTCTGGTTTCTACTAAATGATAAGAGCCTCATTTTTTCACCATACATTTCACCAAAACACGCTGGTTTTGCTGAATTTTGCTTTGCCCTTTACTATTTTTTTACTTTGTATAAACTAATATTGTAGTAGCTTTTGACATTCGCAGTGTTCTGAAACCGTGTGGTTGAATAATTGTACAATGCAAAATTATGAATTTGTATTTTATAGTTCATATACTACCAGTGTTCAAAGGTGTCTTTTTCGATTAAAACCTAAATTAACTCACCCCTCGACTATAGCAAATATGCTGTACTCTTTTCATTACATTACGTAAAGGAAATACAGATAAGGTTAGACCGTTGTTTGACATTGCAATCATTTTCATTTGCAAAGTGATATATTTAATTTGTTATTTGGTAAATCACATATTACTCAAGTTATAAAAGGACATTATGGAGTGACGCTGAAAATACGCTTTATCATCTGAATATACTTTGTACTTGAAACTTCGTTATTTTTCACAGTTTCATTCACAGTTTTACTGACAAACTTTTGAAGTAACGACTGCAAGGATATGGCGATTGTTTAAACTGTCTACTTCTATCAAGTGTCAAATGACGATTTTTTTAAATGTCGTATATGAAATAAGGAGTTCTCTAACTAAAAATAACGACTGTTTGAATACACATGATTACATTCGAGTATGGTGTGACAGCTTTTAAAGATGTCATATCCCATGAAATGAAGACTTTTACAAATTTCGTCTCCTATAGAATGAGAACTTTATGAAATTTTGATTCTTTTTTTGTTCCGGGGAACTAGAGAAAATTACAGATTAAGAAACGTGAGAATCCGGCAATTTAAAAAATGGAGAAAACCTTGTGCTTGGCGTGTATTTGGATGAAGTGGTTGGAAGACATTGGAAGTACAATACTTGGACAATACACCAAAAAAGATTTTACCAGAGGCAAAATTATCTAGAAATTCGAAAGGCGATGGACAAAGCTATTTCCTTTGCCAAATCTGGCTTTGGAAACATGTGCAAAAGTCCAAACTTTGACCTACGTATCTGTTTTGTTTTAGTTTTGTTGACCAGTTTTAATTTTTCTGTTGCAGACTAAAATTAAAAAATTACATTTTTAGTATCTATAGAAGCAAATAGCAGTTACGATACACTCTACAAGGTAATAAAATGTTCAAAAGCAATGATAGCTTGCATTTATTGATTATAAATTCATTTTCGTGATAAAAATTAGCTACTACAGAAATATAAGTCAAAGAGGTAATACATAAATTTGTTACAAACATATTGTTGCGGCAAAATATTCATTAAATGCTCTTGAATTGCGAAATTCGCTTCAATTCCATTGCAATAAATTTGGACAGCATGTCTAATGTTATCAACAATTTCACTTTGTTGCTCATTTAATTCATAAGGGCATGTTGGTACAACAACTCTTTGAGCTTCTTCATTTACATAAACTTCTTCCTCAACAACAAAAAAGTATAATTCGTTCTGTCCCATTAGTATGTCTTGAACAGCACAACTTGGAGAATCTACATCATGAGCCATTCCTAAAAACCAGAGTTGCCGAGGTCTAGTTCTTGTGTCTGAGGAAAGTTTGAAAAGAATCGAGAGATTGATCAAGGGAAACGATAATATAATCAGAGGAGCGGAAGTCAAAGCTGTTAGCAAGGGAAGGCTAATGCACATAAGCAGGCCTCTTTAGAAACTGTACCCGCTGGAGATGGATGCAAGGGTAAGTAAAGACAGTTGTTCAGAAATAGAGAAACAAGAAAGTAGTGAGAGAGCAGAAGTTTCAGAAAAGGGTAGTAGTGTAGAAAGTCATAGGAGACCTAGAAGGGTGGCAGCTGTGGATGCTTGCTGGCGAACAAAAGTTTTGTTTGACCCTAAAGGCTCAAAGGGGGGAGTGTGTCGGAACTTGTGTAAATAAGTAATGGATAATTATTCTTTAATACCAGGAACTTATGTTAATATTTTATTAGTTGTGACACGTTAAAAGTCAGGGCTCTTTTGTCGCTGTCTGTAAATGTAAAAGCTTGAAATGCTTAAGATTATACGTGATGTGAAATAGTTATATTGGAACAGTATTATTGAGTAAAATTATGAATTGTGTGTCGACTGCGCGTACAGTAGGAGACTATACAGTCCCAAAAACGAAACGGCAGAAGCCTAACTGCTTTGTGCTAACGCACAAAGGATAAATTTGCTACACACTTTTAGGGCATTTGCCTGTTGATAAGGGCATTAAACGTTTTCACGTATTATTTTTAACTGTTGGAAAAATCTTTACTATGATAATGACTCATAGAAACCAGTATTACAGTTCTTTGTACTTAAAATTTAAATTTAAGCAGCTTTAATTTATTTTGCTTGATGCTGCTTGCTGTGACTACCCCAAGATCCGCTACTACAACAAATAATGAAAGTAAGAAGGTAAACCTTCAGAATTTTCAGCTTTAAACAATAGTTTTTTAAGCTGCATACTTCATAAAATAAATTGAATGTTTACTGTCTATATAGACTATGGATATACTCAAAGCTTTATTGACTTTGACCACAATGAGTTTCTATACAACATGTTTGATAATTAGAACGGCTGCTGAGAGAAAAACGTTCATGCTGACTTTATTGCTTTACGTTTGCCGATAAGAAATTTACAAAGAAGGCTCTAGCACAAAACCTTAACGCCATCAAACCATACACTTTAACCTACAGATTAAAAGAGCGTGTGACAAAAAAAGATTTCTTGAGGGAAAGTGGCATGAACGAACATTCATCGATAGTATCACAGTATAGAGAACATACAGTAGAGCCAGTTCATTTAATTTTTACGTGCCACGTATATCTTATTACGCATGTGATTACCATATTGGCATCCAGTAAATTGCATTGTGTGACAAATACGATTGACGAAATGGCAAACGGCAGCCAGTAAACTAATTAAATATACAGCAGCCAGTTGCACAGCGAAGTGGCCCTACTATATATTCCTATAATGTGACAGTATTAAAGATTAATGTGGAGCTGAAAATATTCATAACAATACCTTATGTAAATAATTTCAAAAGAACTTGACAGTATACAATATGTAATTTTACATAATATTATGATTTAATTATAATGAATCACGATATGTTCACATGATGAATAATTTGTATATCTACTTGTATTGTTAAAATTTTGAAAGTTCTTTCACAACTTTAATGATAGTGTTTTGTTCACTTTGTCGTCATTGCTTAAGATTTATTATACGCAGAGTTAATAAATCGCTAGTTATTTGCATAGTTTGATATAACAGTACAAATGAAATTACACAAGAATATAGACCACATTAGTTTTGAAAATACCATATGCAATACTATCATTTGTGTGACGCAGTAGTTACATAATCACGCATTTCATTATTTCGTGACGCACGCGCGAGAAACCATAATAGCAAGTATTTTATTGGTTTTTGGACTTGGCGTTGCCAACACGCGTGGAATTTTCTGATGATAGAGTATAACAAGATCCTGTTTTCTTTGCTTTTTATCATTTCCGTTACATAGTGAGATGTAAAAGAAGCCTGTGTTTGGTAAAGAATTTCAAGTCCCACCTATTCCTAAACGTACAGACAAAAAGGATCGGACGTAAGTGAGAGAAATTGTTTCTTATTTTCTTGATTTGTACTTGTGCTTTTATGAAATTTATTAGATAAAACAACAATATTTACCAAATATTGAGAAATACTATAAATACTGGCCAAATGTAGCTAATAAATAAACCAAGAAACGAAAGCAAAAGGTGATTTTGTTTAAGTTGAGAGTGTGAACCTTGCACGTAATTCGAAAGATATTTCCATACATGTTGTCAGCGTAAACTCTTATTTCACATCTTCACATTTTCATGGTGACTTTGCTTTGCCACGACTTTATTTAAATCGCATATTGAATTTACACGTAGCGTAATAAATATAGGTGAAAGCTCATATCCTGAATACATCTAATATCACGGTGTTTGCAACTATTTTATGAAGGATATCAAATCATTTTACAGTAAGATTCTTTTCATAGTAATTCAAGAATAGCATAGATATTTGTTGTATGTTCACTTTAAATTGCTAAAACTAATACATTTTGGTGGATGATGAATAATTATAAGTAATTAAACACATGATTCTGAAGACAAATTTTATATCAGAACTTCTTGCATTCTGTACACTACTTCTAATGTTGCTGAAAAGTTATGAAAGTTTAATAATTCTACGGCATTTCATGTAATTTTCAATTTGTGAATTTAAGATTTATAAAATTATACGCAGTGGGAGTCTGTTCAAAATCATTCAAGAATAGCGTAGATATTTGTAATATGCTCCCATCACCTCGGCAAGCGAAGCTGTCAATAAAGACCCTTTGGTACAATTCTTCAGGGATTTTATTGAGAAATGTTAGCAGTTCAGTTGCTTAAAATCGGTCCTCTTCTAGATAAACAGTATATTAAATCTGCACAAAGTGTAGATTTGTGTGATAATCTACACATATGCACAGTAATTACGTATTCAGTACTTGTTTCCTCCTCATTATCAGCCAGTCAGAAAGAGGTGGCCACATCAAGGTAAATGATGTCAATAAACAATGAAGGCATGGACTCATATGAACATTCAGACAATTGAGTTGTGAGCTTTTCACTCTCATGAACATGGTGTGCATCATCGTGACGTTTCTCGGGTAAATCCACAGGTACACGAGGTCATCATCAGGAGTACAAACGGATTGACCATCTGCCTTGTTTAAAGTTTTTGATCGCCTCTTTTTTTCTCTGTAACTAAAAATCCACAGTGCTTGATTTAATTTGATATATAAATAAATATTTTCAGTTCGCTAAAAGTTAGTTAATTTTATTGCTGAATACGGACCTAATGTGCAAACGTTTCAAGTGGCCATGTTAGTAACTTGTAACGTCATCAGTAAAACACGTTTTCACAGAATAAAAATTATACAGAAGGGCCACTCAAGTGAGCACTGCATCCTCACGGCCGCCATCATTCCAGCAAGATACTTCGGGTTTTCACTTGTTTTCAACCACTGTAATTACATGACGTCATTTTTTTACAATGAAATGGAAATAATTTCAATATAAGAAATGACGTCGTGTCATTTAAGTGGTTGGGAACAAGTGAAAACTCCTAAATATCTTACTGGAATAATGGCTGCCAATATATGCGGCACAACATACGCGAGGACAAAAACATCAAAGGGTCCGACACGAGTGACCTTTTGTATATTCCATATTCAGTGACGTTTGGTTTGCAAGCTACAGATTTTTTATAACTGACGCCCCATTTGTCTTCGTTATTTTTTAATTATTTGCTTGAATTCACAATATTCTAAAATAGGTATTTTAGAAAGAAATGATAGGTATTTTAGGATATCGTATAACTAAATCAATGCACGTTATGTGACTTAAGCTTTTCAAGATTTTTTTAAGCTTTTACAAAATTTGTTAAAAATCGTGCTATGGAAAACAAAACCCATTAGTTACCCTGATCGAACTGATTTTGAAAATTCTTCAAAATAATCCTAATATCTTCCGGAACATTTATATTGCGAAATTGCTAAAGTAATTAACTTCCATACAGCTATAGAAGAGAAATGCCTTTACTAAGATTCAAGGACGAGCGTAAATTATATTTTAAGTATCATTTATATTATAATCTAAACTAATTTGTAATTTTTTAGTGTATACTATCGTATTTTTTATCTTTTAACCTTTTGGACATTTTAAATGTTTTTTATTATGGAACTCTATCGCATAAATTCTAGTAATTTTTTTATTTTACTGAAATAATTTGCATGCAGGTATCCTAATGAAAACAGCTATACTTTTTAAACTTACAAGATTGACCTGCTAAAATTTAAAATTATTTTTATTATAGTATTATTACTGTTGTTGTTACTGGATTTTTTCATAGCTACTACATATTGCAACCAAATTATACATTTTTGCTACAATATAGGCTGAAATTGTTCATATATACAATCTGGAAGCCAAACTGTGTGGAGCTAACTGAAGCCACAAATAATGGTCTGTATTATTTTATACCGCATTTTATGCTCTTACAAATGTGGTCTATGTCTATACGGGGATTGTTGAAACTAAGTTAGTCATGTCTATTTCATTATTTTTTAAAGGATCCGAAAATGGATGCTATTTTCAGAGCCATACCACTGAATTGTTTTCCCTTGTTTGAAAAAATACTGCTGTCTATCTATTTGACATTTACAATCATCGCTCCTGGAATTTCAAAAACATTCGATCGTCAAACTTCTTTTACTTGTAATGACAAGATGATTTCAAAATTCCAAGAAACTTCTCTTATAAAGAACATTGAATCAAGTTGTTTGAGACAATACCAAAATGAAACTTGGGATAATATATATGTGGTGTCCTTCAATTTCTTTTTTCTCTTTTTTTGGGGTATGATCTATGGACAGTCTGTGAGCAATCGACTTAAAAACTTTGATAAGTTCTTGTCAGAAAGAAGCAGTGAAGTCAGAAAGGTTGCATCTAGTTCTTGGGCATTCTATTATTACATCATTTATTTGACTGTACGCGTGATCGGGTTGTCTAGATTTGTTACAGTACTGCTTCCATCCATGTTTCCCATTGAATATTCTTGTTCGTGGCGTCCAACAACAAACGAAAACTCTTCGTTCAACAGTATAATTCTTCCTCCATATAACGAAACTTTCCTTAATTGTGAAATTCGCGATGGTAACAGTGAATGGTGGATTAAATTTGTTGTAGCTGTTGATGTTTTATCGATAATAATGACGATATGTCAGCTAATATACCTATTAAATAAGGCCAGTAGTGACAATTTTTTCACATCAGATAAGGAGTTTTTCACGGTATACATACTCCAAAAACGTGCAGAATTTCGAAAATGGATAAAAGAAATAAAAAATAAACTTCACTTGAACAAACTATTTAATATCCACGATAACGTAGGCAATGCACAAATGTCTGTCCAAAATCTTAAAGATATTTATGTCAACGTCATAATGCAAGCAGAAAGACAATTAAGTAAAGCTTACCCAGAAACGCATGAAAGACACGAGATCCTTCATTGTCATTTCAAACCTAATGAAAGTGCGAAAAAACTCACAAGAGCAACTGACATTTTTAAGTCAATTCCAAATAGCAAGTCGTATCCTAGCTCCATTTTAGTCATTGGAAGGCCAGGAATTGGTAAAACTATGTTGACGAAAAAACTTATTCATGAATGGAAGACAAATGAAGACGACTTTTGGCGCGATAAGCTGGTCATTTTATTGCAATGTCGTGCGATTAAAGAGAAGTACATTACTTTTGAAAAAATGTTAAAGAGTTGCGTTGGATTTTCATTTGAACTGTTTTCAGATATTTACGAATTTATAATGTTAAATCCTGAAAGAACTGTTCTTGTCGTCGACGGTCTTGATGAATTGCCTTTAGATAATGGAGATCTTCGAACTGACGACTCAGGGTCCCCTAATGAAAAAAGGCACGTCATTACACACTTAAGTATGCTACTTGAAGGTAAACTATTGCCTGATGTTACTGTTCTTATTACATCACGACCCACAGCTGAACATAAATTTCGAGATATGGAATTCGCGAGGACAGTTGAAATCTTGGGCTTTTTTGAGGATGAGATAAAAGAATTCGTGGAAAAGTTTTGTCATGAAGATAGGAATATTGCTGACCGTATTCTAAATAAGATTGAAATTTCTCTTGAACTTCGCAGCTTTTGTTACATCCCTATTAACACTAAAATTGTTTGTATGACCTTAAAGGAATGTTTTGCAGATGATGAAAACTATAGTCCAAAGACTATCACTGAATTGTACGATAGAGCAATTAAAGTATTACTATGGCAAAGCCATCCCCTTCTCAGGGACAAGACTACAGAAAAGGATTACTTGAGTATTCCTTTACCATCCAAGCTTGACAAAGATCTACAAGAAATAAAATATGTTGCCATGGAAGGGCTTAAAGACGGACGCCTGATTTTTGAAAGAAAAAGTAACAGTAACTTTAAAAATCTGGAAAACTGTGGCATTTTCAATAAGATTTATGATGATGAACACCATCTTTACTGTTTTCTTCATTTGACTCTTCAAGAGTTTTTTGCAGCGTGGTATATTGTTGACAATTGGCAAAACATTGGAAAGTTTTTGGATGATCATGTTGAAGATCCTAAATGGCATTTGGTAGTCGAATTTGCTGCTGGTTTGGTTGGAAATGAAAAGAAAGAGAAGAGAAAAGATATCAGCGTTATTCTAGAGAGGTATTAAACTTATGATCAATGAGCATTTGTATCATTGAAAATGTTTGATTGTATCTTCATATTGTATGTGACTAGATGTATTTTTTCTAAGTTAATTCATCATCACCAAATTCTTAACATTAATTTTGCCAGGCAGATGAGCAAATATTAAAGTAACGCCTCCTCGATAAGTTTTAAACTAGACTGTCGCGTAGAGTTTGGAAGAAATTATTTCTTTTGAGCGTTTGTTGTATACTTCAGAACATGGTTTTTACATGTTTGCGGATGTAGACCACTGTAGATCCCTGAGTTGTTGCACTTCATTAGAGTATTTGGATGCACTGGGAAGTTATTTAATCAGCAAATAAAAGACTTCAGCATAATGCACACTAAGATACATACATATAAAGCCCATAAAATAAACCTTACGTTCAAACATTAAGTGAAAAAATCTGCTAATGAGAAAACAAATCTAGTGGATTCTCCAAACACTACTTTCTAAAAGTGTAGGACTATTTTTGAAATAGTTTCAAAATGAGCAACAACAACAAGCAAACAGCTGTAAGCTATAACTTAAAACACAAATTTTGAATTTAAGGTTTTTACCTTGATTTTCATCAAAAAATTGCTTGCCGAATCCGAAATACAAATATACATTTTGTGTATCTGGGAGTGGAAAATTGCGGAATTTTCAAAAAAGCTGTAAATTTCGGTAAATCTCAGCGGCATAGTACAAAATCCTCCATTTTGTTGGCGTCATACAATATTCAAAGCCGATCTTGAGATAGCCGCTCCAGTTATTTTAGAACTCAATGGAGTTAGCATTCCAGATATATTTACCTCAATGGGCTGAGTTAAAGCTTACCCGTGCCTTCAACTTACTCAAAATTTGCAAGCAACGACCATTGAGTTCTATAAGACCTGGAGGGGAAAAGAGGCCTGGACCCCGTGGTCAAAAACATGGCGGTAATGGCGGATTTTGTTGGTCAAAACTTCCACTTTAAAATATTTTTTCAATATTCACTCCCTCCTGATTTCCAATACTGTTTATATGAACGAAAACAAGTGAGAAAAAAAAACAATTACGATACCGACAGCATACCATTTGAAAATAATGCTTCAGCATTGCGTGAAAAACACAGTACACACACACATCAAAATAAAGAAAATCGACGGTAGAGAAACGCATATTTTGGCTGTAACATTTAAGTTATTTTATGACATTTTAACCTTTTAAAAGTGAAAATCAAACGGCATTCATTAGTAGACCTGTCAATCTCGTCAAACTTATACTTTATTTCATGCTTCTGTGCATGCGTTTGACTGTTTGTAAACAGTTTGGTGCAACTATTTTTCTTGCTCAAATGGATAAATCTGTGTTAAAATGCTCCTAAGGAAGCAAGAAAATGTTTGCTTCTGTCCTACGACATAAGTCAACTGAAATTTACCATGGATAAGTATCATAAGTTTATTGTCATTACCTGATAAATCTACTGAAAACTCATAAAGAAAGTATGTTGAACTAGAAGAGCTACAAAAAAGAAAAAAATTCAAAACACCATTATGTGTTGGTTGGAAATTTGTATTTTGTAAACTGCTTGGCAGAACCTTGGGTCTATTACTGAACAGAACTACATTAATTTTCCATTGAAATTACAAATTTGGAAACTGAAGTGCATTGGTTTCTCTGACAAAAACACTCTGTCTATTGCTGCATGAAGGCAAAATAATTAATTGACAGTGTAGGCGAAGAAATTTATCAAGTTCTAAAGATATTATTGTGTATTACTTACAGTCTTTTGGAATTGTGTAATGTATGTCAAAAACAAGATATAATTTTTCAAAAATGCTAACCCTTTTAAGCACTACTACTCTTCTGTTTGCTTGAACAGGGGCGGACCAGCTTCGTATATGAACTTAGGCACAATGTCGCACCGTCAGCGCGATTTTTCTAGGGGGGGTCCAGGAACATGTCCCCCCCGGTAAAATTTTAAAATTGGATTGCGAAAAACGCTATTTCCTGCGTTTTTGCAGTTGGTCTTCTAAAATATTTATTACTGGAATGAGCTAACATTCTTGCTCATAAATTATCGATTTTTGACCGTTTCGCTCAATATCAGAGCTCATCAGCATGCCTAGGAAACTCGCCAAAAAATATGCTTTGAGGGTTTCCGACATGGACGGCCTGGTTCATTACAAACTTAGCCTAAAAAAATTCTTTACGCTTCATCAATATGGAATTTCATTTTATAATGGTCTAGTCATACCTATATGCTGATTATTATGCAAACGATTTTATGTCAATTTATCAAATGAAGTTGTCAATAAAAAAAAAGCAAAAAAATGTTTGTAGATTTCGATCGTCCAGGTAAGTAAAGTCCTGAGAACGATTGTTTGTGTTTATATTGACTGAGGTTAGCGGCAGTCATCTTTACAGTCAAGAGTTTAAAAAAGGCATGAAGAACTTTCACTCCGAACTAGAAAGCTAGTTCAATTCTTCTTTGTCTTTGCAAAAGATCTATAATTTTTCTATATCTAGATTAATGTCCTGATGAATATACAATAAAGCAAGACCATTTAACCTGTCAGCAGCCATAGTACTTCTTGTATAGTTCTTTAGTCTTCGAAAGCAGAGAACGACCTCTCACACTCACAAGAAGTGACTGGAATAGTACCTAAGATCTTTAACAATACTTTTATGTTCTCAAAACCTGGAAAATTTACCGACTTTAAAGTAGAAGAGACATTTTCAGGAAGACAAGTTGTAGAAGACGATTCCCAGTATTTCTGCCAGAGATCAAGTTCACCATCTAAAGCCTTTGGATTTGGAAGATCATCCAAGAACAAAGAAGAAAATGAATAAAATTTTTCCTTCCAAGAAACGCCACAAGAAAGACACAAAAGTAACTTGGATGGAATTAAAAACAAGCCATAATATATGCTAGTTGCTGATGAATCAAACCGTTTTTCTAACTCAGAACACAAGTGATCAGCTAAAGGAATGGTTATTGTTTTCTTAAAGTAATCAGATACAGATTCAGACGGAACATTACTTCTAATTGCCTGACGAACACAAGTTCTAAGTTTTTCTCTTCAACACCTACCTTTTCTGCCATCGTTAATGCAATACTGTACCAGTTAGCATGATAAACATCGACTTCATTTCTTACAGTTCTCGACAATTTTTTTAATGCCTCAATCAAGTTCAAACCGTCAGCAATATCATTACTAGAAGACTGAAGTAACTGAGTAACTGGAAGAGTAAGATCAAAAATACATCTAGTTATTACGAATGCTGCAATAAAATCAAAAGATGTCAAAAGATGTAACAGAGGGGAAGCTTTACTAGAGGTCTCACGATTACACTTGCCTTCGACGTTAAAACTCATTTCTTCCAAGGAAAACACAATAGCAACATACAGTTCTTCAAAAGTATCTAAGCTAGTAATACGCTCGACCCATCTTGTCTTACAAGCACTTTTCAATCTCTTTTTTGCAGAATCTGGACAGCGTTCTCCAATGCATTTCTCCAAAATTAGTTGTCTGCATTGGGAAGAGTTGAAAAGTTAGCAACTTCCTTCACATGTTCCAAAACATTTCTTACATACTGAACTGCACAAGTCCCACAAATACTAAGATTTAATCTGTGACTGAAACAATGTGTAAATGGCTTTCTCATTCAAATTCTTAATCCTTGCAGCAAGACCATTAATGCATCCAGCAACAGCACCTGCGCCATCATACCCCTGAAGAATGATGGTATCAACTACTGGAACTAATTTTTTCCTATTCTCTGAAATCTTTTTCTTTAAGTTACTGTCAATGATGACATTTATTGGCTGGCTTTTACGAACTCTGATCCAAGATATCCTTAAGAAGAGCCGTGTGAACATGAAGACCTGATGATGTACTTATATGCTTTTTATTGCACTTTTAGCATCAGGCCAATGTTTAATGGCTCTGAAAAAATATTTTAATTCGACTGTTTTTGGAGGGAAACCTATCACCAAACAAAACACATGGTAAGCAAAAAGCACCATTAAGACTTGGAGAATGAAAGCCAAAGATAATCCTTCAGCCAATCATGTGAAAGGACCTACTGACCATTTGCATCAACAGTTTTAGGAAATTCATAGCATTCATCAGGTACAAATACATTCTTCACAAGTTTTTCAATTTCATGAATTTCCATACCTCTCACCTTTTCTCTATAAAAACCAACATCATATGGATTTCTAGGCAAATCAGCATTTGCAGTTTTATTATCTGGTAATTGCAAGGTAGAAGATGAAATAAAAGAAGCATCACAAGAACCCAAAGCGCTACTGTGAGATATACCATATGGATGAGCCTTAGTTGTCATGGTTGTCTCAGTAGGACCAGAAGGTGTAAACCTCAACTTTGTTTGTATACTGGGCTTTTTAGCTTATGACAAGTGACTACTTCCCTTTCTTTTAGTTCCCTTCCCACCAAGTATCAAAGGCACATAGTGATTGTGTTTGAATGCAGTTGCTTGAGGAGCTGAACCTTCAAAGCAAAACAAAACTCGCAAATAATTACTAGTGGAAGCACAAGCTCTAGATCGAATTCGAGGTTCAATTCTTTGGTTAAATAATAAATTCCACCTATAAGCACTAGAGTATATGTCAGGATAGTAAGAAAAAATGCTACAGGATGTAACTGAAGAGAGTGCCAACAAACAAACAAACCCAGTCCATGCCATATCTTTTGCATTTAACACAGCTTCTGCCCTGACCAGTTCAGCAACAGAACAACCACTTCCAGCACTATCAATTGCTTCAAAAGACTGACATGGCCACCATGCTTGAGATGGAATCAAAGTGTTTGTTATGCTGAGTTTCAAAAAGATTTGAAAAACATGGATGTTTCGCATAATAATCAGCATATAAAAATAATTCTATAGAGGTCATGAGCCTCAAAATAGTCACCACAGAGTTGTCACCAACAAGCAGAATTGAGAATGAACTATAGAGGCAGTTGCCATTTGTAGCAGATCTGAAATAATGTTATGTAAATTTCAAATATTATGCTTCAGTTCATTTTTGTATATCTTATCTTAAGTACACTATTAAACACATCAAGAAATAAATCAATAGAAACGTTGTAAATATGATCGAAATTCGAAAATTTGTTTTGTTTTGAATCACATAAATAAAACACAAATAACAAATCCATCGGGCATCACATCAAGTCAATTTATATTTGCTTATATATTCTTGTGTAAGCATGCATGCATAACATGTCATAAGTTTTCTAACCTTAAGGCAACCAAATTTGTGTTCTTTGTCTTGGCACTCTGCGGTATGTAAACTTCGGCATTGATATTTCGGAAAATATCAACACCGAGACGATCCAATAAATTATCGTTGGTAACAATGCTGTTGACTTTCAGGCAATCCAACATCTCTCCGTAGAGTTGAGCCATAACAGTCCCATCTTTCCTCGTAAAAGCATCTTCGACTCGATCAGTGAAAGATGCCATGCTTCTCATTAAAATCGTTGGTTTTGAAGCTCAAAGATAAAACCTCAGCTATCAACAATCTCAATCTGTGCTGAATTTCGCACAACACCGCTTGAACATTTCAGCAAAAACGGCGGCTCGTTAATCAGCACAACGGCAATAAACCAATCAAGAGACAGATTTTAGTCTCCAAATTCAGCACAATTTAAGGCGTGCTGACTCTGTGTGGGTTAGCTATGGGTATTTCTCCCGCAAGTGAAATATAATTTATTTTAGCCACTTGATCCCTTAATCCCAATCTTAATCCAGGTCTTGGAAACAATAACATTGCTCAGTGAATGCACGTTGTTGCACAATTTTCTCATAATACTATCCCTAACCCTGACAATATGTTTATTTTTCTAATGCTTTCGTTGTGAGGACAGAAAAAATTTAATTAATTTTCGGATAAAGAATTCATGATCATTATTCACACAACGAAACAAACTACACCATACCGAGACGAGACTCGAACCTGCAAAAGACGAATAGAAAAATGCTCTTGGTCCTTTCGACAAAACGGTTTCCACTCCACAGGCGCAAATTGTTTTTATTTTTAAATAGGGGCATTTAAAATTTGATTAATTTTTTCCGCTGCTGTGAAGAATTTAACTACGTCGCGTGCTGAATGTGACGTAGTTTCAATCCGCCCCTGTGCAGCTTGAACAACTTACAGCTACGAATACTAATTATTTATATGTACAAACTAACAATTGGGAATAAAATGATAAACAACTTGATAAATCTTTGTATTTTCCATCACGCCTTTGAATTTGTTTCTTTTATCTCTTGCTAAAAATATATTAATGAAAGACTTACAAATCAAGTTTCTCAAAAATAGTATTTTGTACAAAGAACTAAACATAATTGGAAAGGTCACATGTTGAAGACAGACTTTGCTTCTCTGACTAGGTTGCTTGACCATGAGCAATTTAAATTTGTTTAGAGAATTCTTTTATTGATTTGTACTAATTCTTCATAAGACACAAAGAATTTCTAAGCCAACTATTTTTGCTTCCACTACATTCAACTTCATTGTAACCAATGTATCCGATGTGAATTTGTGGATCACCTGGAATCATACTAAGTATGGATTTGGTGAGATAAGACAAGAATTTGTTTAATTTTTCATGCATATTAATGATATAATCATAAGCTATTGTTGAACAAAAATTTCAAGGTAGGAGCAAATCTTAGCACATTGTTCAACACACTTCTTTTATCTTGCTTTTGAAGTAGTAACCTGTTTTTCATAACAATAAATACTTCACTTACAGAAACGCGAAGTAATACTTTACAACTGTTTGCATAAATCCAACTTTCCAAACCCATTATAATTGTCTACACTATACAGTCAGTCAAATTGAGCAGGCAAGCAGTTTAATAGTTACTTATATTATACGGCATATACCATAGTTCTCATTAACTTTGCATGGCAATGCATTCAATTTTAACACAACTCTGTTGTAAACTTTCCCTTCATCTTTAAAAAATAAATAAGAACAAATTCTGCCCAACTTTTGGGAGGTAAACTCAATTCAAATGAGGAGAGTTTAGCTTGATCATGATACAAGATGGTTGCAAAACTCGATAAAAATTGGCAGCTTTACCACACGTCTGACGAGTGATAAAGTGAAGAACAAACAAGACTGGAGAAAAATAACCTTAAATTAAAACTTAGTTGTAGAAATACTCTTCAAGTATCGTGTTAAAAACAAAATAGTAAAACTACTACTGTGCTACTTACCGGAGTCATGAAATGTTTCCTTTTCTGTCGCTATTTCATCATCCGCAAACAACGGAAGCTTGCAAATTGTTTAATAAATATAATTTTAAAAAGTGTTTATGTTAGGAAAATAGTTTTGATACTTTCTATACACCCAATCGTGGTGGTCAAATCAGGGTGGGCGACAAAATTTTTATTTCATGAGCCCGCGTCTCTCCGCTGATTTTGACCACCAAAATCCGCCCCATGTTTTTGACCACGCGGCCGCGCGCTAATAATTTATAGTAATTTTGTTGACGTTTACCCTCCAGGTCTTATAGAACTCAATGGCAACGACGTAGTTGTTCCATTGAGCTCTAAAAGACCTGGAGGGGCAAAGGGGCCTGGACCCCGTGGTCAAAAACATGGCGGTAATGGCGGATTTTGGTTGTCAAAACTTCCACTTTGAGAAAAATATTTAACATTCGCTCCCTCCCGAAACGGATCTCTATTACTGCTCATAGTAGTGACAACCAGCGAAAACAACCACGATACCGTAAGCATAAAATATTGAAAATAATGCTTCAGGTTTTGTGAAATAGACACACACATTTAAATGAGGTAAATCTACTGTAAAATAACGTATATTTTTCAAGTAATGCTTTAGCTATATTAGAAATAAATATCAAACGGCATTCTTTACACTGTCAATGTGTTGTTGCTTTAATGCATAATCACATGCGCAATACTTGTGTTTTTGACTGTTTGTGAACAGCTTGGTGCAACTGTCTTTCTTGAATAGATGGGTAAATCTTAGTTAAAATGTCCAAAAAGGAGTTAGAAAAGTTAGCTTACCCCTACGACTTAAGTCGACTGGAAATATATTATAAATAGGTATGTAATTTTTTTGAGTTTTTTTAGGTAGGATTGATTCTGGGTGTCTTATAAAGTATTATGATATTCTGATAAATCTACTGAGAACTTATGAGGAAAATATCTTGAACTAGGAGAGCAAAAGAACGAAATTCAGAAATTCTAATCATGTTGCTGGTTCTGTTTTGAGCCAAGATATTAGAAACTGGATTGTTATTGACAACCATGGATCTACTACTGAACAGAACTACATTAATTTCCCATTGAAAATACGATTTCATAAATTAGAGTGCATTGGTTTCTCTGACATAACACTTTTCTTATTGCTGCATGAAGGCAAATCTGTTTAAATAATTATAATGTAGGTGAAGATATTTAGCATGTTGTATAATTGTTATTATACAGACATTATTTATAATATTATGGCTTTGTGTAATGTATGTCAAGAACTTATTAATTCTCAAAAATGCTAACCTTCTTGCACTTCTTTTCTTTTGTGTCCTTACAAATTACAGTTACCTATACTAATTTTTTCTAGGTTCAAACAACTTGACAAATTTTTGAATTTTACATTATGTCTTTGAATTTTTCTTTTGTCTTTTAGTAAAAATATCAGTGAATGACTTAAAATCAAGTTTATCTAAAATAGTATTTTGTACAAAGTAACTATACATAATTGGAAAAGTCTCATGTTGAAGGCAGATGTGGCTTCTTTTACTAGATTGCTACTCTTATTCTTTTAAATGATATCGTATTTTTTCAAAAGACATAAAAAGTTCTTTGCCATCAATTTTCGCTTCTTCCACATTCAACTTCATTGCAACCAATGCATCTTATGTGAATTTTTAATCACCTGGAATTGAAAAACGTATGGATTTTGTCAGATGATGCAGTACTATATTTAATGTTTCATGCATGTCATGATAAGCTTTTCTTGAGCAAATATTTCAAGGTAGGAGCAAAATTTGGCACATTGAACAAAGTAGTTTTTATCTTGATTTTGATGTACTAACCTGTTTACTACACTGTTTACTACACTGTGTAACAAACAATTCATTTACAGAAACACCAGATGGCATTTATAAAACTTTTAGCATAAAGCAAACCTTTACACACCATCATGCTTGTCCAAATCTGTCAAATTGTCCAGGCTAGCTGTTTAATACAGGTATTTTTTAACGACATGTACCAAAGAGCTCATTAATTAATCCTGCACTGCATTTGATTTCAATACAGCTCTGTCCTTATTATTTGCTTCATATTTTCAGAAAATATCATGAAAAATCCTCCATTTCAACTCAGTTGAAACAAGGAGTTTTAAGATATGCATATCTCGATAAGAACTGGTTGCTTTGCCTCGTCTAGCAAGCGATTAAGTAAAGAACAAATAAGACTGGATAAACATAACTTAAAACTTAGGAGTAAAACATTCACAAAATATATACCATCACACTTCAAGTATTGACTTAAAACATAACACTGAACACTTTAAATGGTAAACAATCTTACGTTGCTTACCGGTGTCATGAAATGTTTCCTTTTCTGGCATTTCTTCAGCATCCGTATACCAAACAAGTTTGCAGCATGTTTTAAAAATAAAATTTCTAAAAGTTTTTGTGCTTGGCATTGAAATTTTATATAATCGCAATTGTGGTTGTCAAATCCGGGTGGGCGAAAAAAATTTTATTGTATGAGCCCGCGTCTTTCCGCTGACTTTGACAACCAAAATCCGCCATGTTTTTGACCACGCGGCCGCGCGCTGATAATTTATAGTAATTTTGTTGACGTTTCCCCTCCAGGTCTTATAGAACTCAATGAGTTGTTCATGCAACGTACTTGACATAGTCTGGATCCGCCCCTGATTAAATCAAACTAAAGTAGATGTTTTGAACCCGGGAGTGTCGTCACTGTATAGGGATATACAGTAGGTGCACTTCGTGTGCAATTGGCTGCTGTAATTTAATTAGATTACTTGCTGCCGTTAGCCATTTCATCATTCCTATTGGTCAAAAAAGCAATTTACTAGCTGCCACTATGGTAATCACATGCGTAAGAAGATATGCGCGGCACGAAAAAATTCAATGGAGTGGCTCTACCGTATATTAACTATACTGTGGTATCGTTACATGTTTGTGGCTAAAGATAGTCCAGGTCAGTAGAGTCATGAGAAGGAATGCTGGTATTGATATTACGGTCGTCAAGTGAGGAGTAAACGTCAGGTTAGGCGTATTTATTATCTGGTTTTTACAGCGTCGTAATTTGTGCACAGGAAATGTGTGGGTGTGTGGGTTTCAATTGTGTTCTGTTTTTGTGGATTAGTCTGAAGTAATGAGTTAGTTGCTTGTTTGTTTGTTTTGTGAATGAGTCATTTCTAAGGTGCCGGTAATTGTTGTGATCTAAATGTATTACTTACAGCACTGACTATAGACAATGGCTTACATTAGAAAGTTGGTAGACCAACTTAAAACAAAAACCCCTGAAGAGATCACAATAACTACCGGCTCCTTACAAACGGCTCATTCACAATACAAAAACAAAAAACTAACTCATAACTTTAGACTAATCCACGTTAACAATACACAATTGAATACCACACTGCAACACAATTTCTGTACACACAATACGATGACGTAAGAACAAGATAACAAAAACGGCTATCCTGACGTTTACTCCTTTAATTGACTCTGAAGATGACTACCACTAAGGTTGTCGAAACGTCGGTCTACAGCAACACCAACAGTCCTTCTCAGAACTCTACTAACCTGGAAAATTTTAATTCACAAACGTTTTACTCAAACCTCGTATATTAATGAGTATGTCAATAACTCTTTCTTAAAACCTAGCATGTTATTGAGCATCTCATATATATTCACAAAAAAACACCGGTTTTTCTGTTTGTAAAGCGTTGTTCCCATACAGTTGTAATTGTAAGTTAATCACAGAAAAAGCAATCAGTGACGTGAAACCACTGATATGGGAACGCTAATCGGCGATAGCAATTGACAACAAATTTAAATATTCTACTCAACAGATAGAAATTACTTGCTACGCAGCAGGGACTGATCTAGAACTTCTGGAACGTAATTCAAGAAACGCCAGAAGCTTTAGCCATCTTGTAGGTTCTGGGAACATACTCACAGGGAAAATTTTGATTTTCAACGTCTCGGAAGTTCAATTTCCGGCATTTTAAAGCAAGTGCTAATCATATTTTGTAAGCGTTGTATGTGCATAAAACTAACAGTTTAGTAGCATTTTTAATTGAAATGGTG